GTAGCTGCATGCTATCTGGGTGCCTTTTACTGTGACTCAGTGCCATTTGAAGTGTGAGATTGAACGACGCTGAGCAAGATGAAGATCCAAGGTTCGTGTGTGCCAGCCAAAATACTTTGCAAACAGTTGCGATTTTAACAAAGAAACAGAAGCTATTTATGGTGAACTTTAACTTTTACGTGGACCGCAAATTTGCAATTTCCCATAACTAAGACAACACCTGGCAAGATTCAAGGTTAGAGTTCAAGAAGGATAAGCGAAGCTCTATGAACGCGTAAGCATTTTTACCATTACTGACGACTATGAAAGAATCACTAATTTATTCTCACTCTGATCCACGCGGAATATTTCAATCATATTCAATAAATCCTCCCATTATGGAACTGGCATGGTTTATGATCTTAAAACTTGCCTCTTAAAAATGTTAGCATTGAACCTCATAGGGAATGATAACCTTGAGCAGTGTTCTTTTCTTAGCTATATATATATATATATATACTTTACTAGCAAAACAGTACTTTTTTAGCCGCTTCACGGAAGATAAGTTTTTCCTAAATCTTCCAGGATTTCACCCAAACCTTCGCACCCCTTGTTCACCCCCTGCTTTCATAGGCTCACAATTATTAATGCTTCGTCAAGTCGAATCAACTGTCACTCGTTGTGTTTTTGTACCTCAAAGTCAAATTTGAAACACCCTTTGTTCTTCAATGAGTGAACGGTAGTTTTTTCTGGGCCGAACTATTTAACTTGGGAAAATTGACCAAGTATGAAGAGATACATTCTTTTTATTTCCGGCCGTAGAGGATTTCAGCACAGAGATCGAGGGTCTATTCAGGGGCGTAGCCAGGGGGGTCCTGGGGTGCCCGTGACCCTCCCTTGGTACGCCTTCTTTTGAGCAAACAACCTACAATATTCAGGTGGCGAAAACGCCATGACAATATCTTGGCCGTAAAAGCCATTGTTGAAAAGCCTACTTTTTAAATTTTTTTTTTTTTTAAAGTATTTTCATCAACGGCTCTTGTCTTTAGTTAATATGGGCCTTCATGCCGCGATAATACGACTGAGCCCGCTGATACACGAGGGAGAGCAGCGGGTGAGTAGCCTCTGTGACCCCCCTTTGAAAAATCCTGGCTACGCCCCTGCTATTTGAAAAGCTAAAAATAAAACGCACGGTTGAGGAGCCCTGGTTTGGCGAATCATTTCGAGCCCTAACAGGTAGTGTACGGAAAACGTGATTATGGTCATGAACTGACTCCCGAAATTTTTAGTACGTACGCAGAGGCTTAGAACATAGGCAAAAAATAAATACGGCTGGAGCCTCTCTTCATAAGCGACCACCCAAAATCGAAGACTTAATTTAGTAGCGGGCCTACGGGCGGGTGGTCGCTTACGAGAGCTGATCCACAGAGAAGAGCTGGAAGAAAATTTATAGTATGCAAGTTCTAGGTTAAATATCTGTATTGCTAAACAAAAGACTAAAAGTTGTTCCATACTCTGCGTAGTGTGAGTTAGTGTAGGACATTTAGCGAACGTACAGATCAAACCATGCGCTAAGTGGTCGCGGGAGCAAAGATACAATCGATGGCAAGTTGTAAAATTGTAAAATTGTCATCCAAAAAACTGGTCGCGGTCGCGTACGAGAAGTGGTCATTTACAAGAGGTGGTCGCACATGTAGATTCGACATTGACAAAGAAACAGTTTCGCTTTAATAAAAAAACTCTCATTACAGAACCTTTGCCTTTTTGTAGTGAGGATGAACGCCCTAGGTCAAGTGCCGAAGCAGGTGCGGTGAAGTCATGACAGGACACTGGAACTGACTTGAACCACTTAAAAATTTGGTTAAATCTCTGTAAAATGGCTAGATTTCCTTTGTAAATTACGAACTCTGAAAATGCGCACATTCACAGAGATTTTTTATGCATGTCCTCTAGGACACACTAATGATATTCATAAAAGTTTTAGGAAAATTTGGAGGATTGACTGCCAAACAAGATGTAGGATCTAATGAAAAATTCACCTTTTCAGCTGTCTTTTTGACTAGAGTGATGGATATATCATCACAAAGTGATATGAATCACAATTTGCTGTTCGTCCTCGGAAACTCAACTGGTCGAATTAAAAATTAGCACGGCAGCGCGACGTTTAGCTACGGCCGTGTAGGACGGAAGCGCGACGTTTGAAACGAGGTTTCAAACGTCCCGTAGGCAAACAATTCATAAATTATAAATACAAGAATACATTTAAAAGTTTCTAAACCGAGAACAGTCGTTCTATTCGACTGAATTCAATTCGACGTCTGAAACCAAGTCGTGCTAATGTCAATAGTTCGTCGGGCCAGCTTAGCACGGCAGTAGCGCGACAAGCCCGAGGCACACCAAAGCCGTTTGACAAAATAAACAGGTACAGGATGACAAAATAAACAGGTACAGGATAATAACCCAAGCATTATATCGCCGAAAGGACAGGAAAGTGCGTGGGGCTCCCGGCTAACTTTCATTTTCGCCGATTTCACTTATATACGCGGAAAATCGCGAAAAACCGAAAAAAACCTTTATCAGGATCTATATCTCTTGCGTAAAACTCGCAGCTAGTTGATAAAAATCGAACGTTTTTTTTCTGTAACATGACATTACTGATGGCTAATGTATCTTTAATCTAGTAAACGTATCGTCCATTTGCAACTGTGTACAATACATGCACTGGTCGTCTTCTCAGTATAAAAACCGCACTGTAAAATGCCCTCACTGGAAATACGTTTTATATGAGCAGGGATTATATAAAATACAGTCACCCGCGAAAAACTGAAGTTAGCCTTACCTGTATTGATAGAACAAATCCTTACTGAATTTCCAATCGCAGAATAACACCGTGTTTCTAGGATATAATTAAGCTGTGAAAACAGTCCTTTGTGTAGATGTACTGCGCAGAACGTGCGAATACATGAATTGCTGAATACTGAACTGATGTAATACTTATATCAAATGAGTCTTTTCATATAGTTGGCAGATATCCTGATTGTCAAAGTAATCAATTCAATAACAAATGAAAATAAAGAGTAATAAAACCACGTTGTAGTCTTTCTCTAGTTGCGTAGCTTACAATTTCCATCTTTTTAATTATCCTCTTCATCTGTGCTTTAAAAATATTGAATATAGATGGCCAAACTTGGTACTAAAAAAAAATAAAGCTTATGATGAGTTTTGGCGTCGTAGAGCCGTAAGGAAATTTTAGTCAGCATTAGTTGTTTATATCACTATATAACTTGGTGGAAGAAGATTTAAATCCATCTCATCTTTCGATTACCTCCGCCTTGCAAATGTGGCTTTCACAATGCCACCTTTCCTCAGATCGAAAGCGCATTTTTTACTTCAGAGGAAAGGAAAAAAACTGTTTTTCTGATTTTCCAAAAATATAAGGTAGCAATATGCATTATACTTAGAAAAAAAATATAGTAGTATAATCTATAGCGCGGCATCGGTAACAAAATCCTTTTCCAAAGACATAAAACGCAAGACAACGAGAAATGTAACTCAAGCGGAAGCAATCAAGAAGTGTCGAGTGTTGCCTCTTGTTTTAATTTATGGCTTACCATGTAATCCAGGTTACTTCTGAAACTGAAAAATTTAATATCATATGGTTCTTAAAATGTACCCAAACTTATTTAACCAGCGGTTATTGAATGGCATGAATCGGGAAGAGAGCCGATATTAACTGGCCGTTATTCAACTCAAAAGCGACCCGTGTAAAGGTCAAGGACCGTTCTCTTGACTTTCGAACCTGGTGTCAAGAAATCGTCAAGACCTACCAGAACTTGCTACAGATGAACAAACGATCAGCAGTAATTTAGCCTGCGTAGCAAGCGTTTCCGCGCGAGTCCGTCGAGAAAGTTGGGACAAGAGCCAAAAAGAGGAATGAAAGGGGAGGGGGAGGGGAGAAAAGCAACTGACTTTGGCTGTCCCTCACCCATCTTGAGAGGGTCTGGATAGGGTTAACTGACAACTGTAAAGCAAATCGCCTAAAATTTAACTGACAACTAACAAAGGACCTGCTGATTGTCCTTTATTTTCCACGAAAGCCGTTTTTGAGACCTTCTAATTGCATTATTCCACCCTTTTCGTGATCAATTGTGCGTTTATATGGGTAATCTTAGCAGCAGGACGCTTAACTGTCATATTTCAAAGCATAACTGATAAAAATTGAAGTACTCCAGTAAAAACCCACGTATAAGAACCCAGATTTTTCCAACTTAGCCTAAATAGATTCTCTGAAAGAAATGGTATTAAGTGGGATTTAAGGGCTACTTGGTTCTTAAATAGGTTCATAATTTGATAGGGGTACAAGCGATCAGCACAGATAACTACAGATAACTAGTACAGGGCACATGTGATATGGCCTATATTGCTGTATTAAATTATTATCTATAATATAGTTTAGATGAGAACCATATAGTAAATTTCTCTCTCCAAAGTACTAGCATGCATCTCTTTCATGCTGCAGTGTACCTAAAATGTTTTGTTGGCGAAGACATGATATGGTTTTCATTTTAGTTCATTCTTTGAATCTTTCTGACTGACCTAGACTAATTTTTTTTGTATTTTCATCTGTGCCTTCATTTCAGCTGTCATTTTTGTAAAGTAAGAACCTATTGAAAATTTTAGGTTAAATAGGTTCGTAAGAAAAGGGGGTTTAAATTGAACATTTTAGCCGAAACGGTTCTTAAAACTTTAGGTTCTTATACGCGGCTTTTTACTGTATTGCGGCATCAGTTATATATGTCCCTTTTTAGCTAAATTTCAGAAAAATATAAACAAATATGTTTTATAGTTAATTATTAATAATCATTTAACTGACAACTGACAAAAAACCTAAAATTTAACTGAGTACTGACAAATAGCCAAAATTTTAACTGACACCTGACATCATTCCTTCCTCGCGTACCGCGCACTACGCGCGCGTATTGCAATTGCAATGCATGATGGGATAGCCTTCCCGCCACCACATGGACTCGGAAAACAACATGCCCGGTGTCAACGGAGAAATCAAGAAAGATGGTGTCGAAACCGTCGACGAAAAGCGCGATCTTGGCGCAAAACCAAAGAAGGTCGACGATAAAAGCTCTAAGACTCGAAGGACGTCGGAAGTTCCGAGTTTAGACGCAGAAAGACAGTGTTTGGTTCAGCGACCGACAGACCAGCAATGGCGTAAGTCGATGTTTTTCTTCGTTTTGTATCACATGTTGGAAGACTTTTCTAATTTACAATTCACTTTTTCGGTAGATGCCGCTGAAATTATACACGTCAGACCAGTGGAGAATGGAAAAACTGAATATTACGTGCATTACCACGGATGTAAGTGTTATTAAAACTTGTACGAAACCACAGTTTTGAGACTTTCGTTTATCTAAGTCTTATTTCCTCGGATTTTGTTTTGTTCGAGATCGTTTGGCGACCACTACTAATAGCATTACGCATTATTGGAAGTAGTGAAATGAAATTAGTCAATAGTTAGTATTTGTACTTTCTTTTGACTGAACAACCTAAAATAACAACTTTAAGCTTATAACTTGAGCTAATATTGAACGGTTCTTCATGCAGAAATGGCATGTTGCATTTCAAAACTCTTGACAGCGTATATTAGTGCTTGCCCTTTCAATGGCGGCAAGCAATTTCAGAGTTTCTTTGTCAAGTAGTCCTTTGAAATAATTGCTTGAATTCTAGAATAAATGGAATTTTTCCAGTAACTGACACAGCTGGGCTTCAAAATTGTGATTAATTGTGACAGGGAATTGGTATTTTAGGCTACTTGGCCAGAGGTATATCATGTGAATAGTGTCCTGTATTTAGACAGGATCAGGGTTTACATTGTCCATACCAGTGTATGGCATGTTGTGAGTTACACTGGCCATAGAGATTTGGATGAAAATGCCATTTTAAGCTTAGTCAAGCCACCCCAACTACCCAAAGGATATTGTTCACAAGGCAAGTTTGATTAGGCTTTTGTTCCTGATGACACATTTCACCTTTGTAAGTTTAGGAATGCACAATGCCTCGAACAGTTTGGATGATCCGCCTGTGACCATACTTGTCACTATCCAGGTCTTGGTATTGCTTCTGATTTTCAACCAATCAGAAGCACTACCCAGATCTTATCGGTCAGAAATGGTCAGTATGGAATTTCTTTGCTTGTTTCTTAGACGTCAAATTGTGGGCAAACCACATTTTTTTTTTTATTCAACCAAAATGTTAATGATTACTAAGCCAGATGCATGTCCTTTTGAGAAAGAAAAATTACTGGCAGCTCTGTTATTCAGTCCAATTACAATGTGATTACCATTCTTGTTTGTTTTACCTTAGTCAATAGACGTCTGGATGAGTGGGTGCCTATGGAAAGAGTTGATCTTCAACAGAAAGATGACAGTGTTCATGTTCCTATTTTGGAAGAAAAAGTTGATATTGATGGGCCCGAAAGAAAACTGACAAGAAACCAGAAACGTAAACATGATGAGATCAACCATGTCCAAAAGGTATTTATTAGAAATATGATGTTTAGTAAGCTGTGGGAGTTTTAAGTCTAATTAACCCATTCGCTCCTGGAGATTTTGCCGAAAAACGCGTTTTGAAGGTAGTTGAGTGGTTTTCTGGTCACTGTCGTGCTATAAAGAGTTAAAACTTACCACAAACTGGTTTGCAGGTCGTACACTTCGCGGCCTTCTGATCCAGATGCAAAATATCAGCTTGCGAAGTTCGGGCATGCGCAGAAGGCAAAATTTCGAGATAGTTTTTGGGTTTTAAAGTGACACAGCAGTCTTGACTTTTACTTTTCGCTTTCTCTCCTCCCTTCTTTTTTCGCTTTTCTTGCCTCATTTTTTTTTTTCTCTTGCTGGGCATTTAGTAGGCTTCATTTTGGTGGGAATAGTTTTTAGGAAAACTTTTAGGATCTTAGGATTAGGTGAAAGGAAAGGTAGGTGAGTAATGGAACAAGATTTTCATGGAGATTTTCGTGTCAGTGTCACATGGTTTTTTACTTCTTTCTCCGGTGTCCTTGACTGAATTGTGCTCATTCTTGTATGGTTTGAAAGATCTCTTCACTCTGCGCAAGTTAGCGAAGAAAGTTGTCCTTGACCGTTAAAACTGATGACGTCACAAAGGGTAGAAAGGACCTGGATCCGCACAGGTGGTTACGGGCGGTTCAGGGGCGAATGGGTTAAGAAGGACAAATAATTTCCTTGTCTTTCAAGTAATTAAAATGACTTGAAGGGGCTGTGTCACACAGTCCAGTTCATTTGTTTAATTTTGCCAATTGCTTGCCCGCAATCGCTAAATGGGACTTAATGTAAGCAAAGAAATTACATGTAAATGACAAAATCAGAGATTTGAGACAAGCAAATATGTCTCTTGATCGTTATTTTTGAAGTTGCAAACAGCAGAGATCAACTTTGAAAAACTGTTAGGCTGAACAGTTTTCAAAAACCCTAATTTCAATCTGTTTCAATCTTCTTCAGTTTTGTCCATCCGTGGAATCTGTTGTGTCTGTTGTGTTATTTTAAACTTCCTTTAATGTTTTAAGTGGTTATTTTTATGTTTCTCTCAATCTAACGGGCATTTTGTAATTACCTAATTTGGCTGAATTTCGTGACACAGCTCCTTTAACAGAAAACTGAATGAAGACTTTGCAGCGTGCAAAGAAAGTTGTGTCCGATAGCCCGGGGCTAGTGGGTTTTTCTATCGGGCTAGTGATTTTTGTTCTTAACTTGCCCAACGGGCAAGTGGTTTTTTTGGGGGGAAATTCAAATTACAGAAGGTTTGTAATCAAACCTGCTAATCAAGAAGGGTTTTGGGGCTAGTTGAAATGACTTGTGGGCTAGTACATGCCAGCTACAGCTTGCCCGAATGGCAGGCTGTAAAACTGAGTTTCTTTGCACCCTGCTTTGTATGAAGAGAAGTGTAGCAGATTGTCCCTGTTTGGGTCTTACAATGCAGGTTAAAGGTTTGTTAATAGTGGAAGGAATTTTATCCAGCTAGTTTACAAGTACTCCACTCAAATACTGATTTGAAAAAGATAATCCAAATAGATAATCCCAAACTTGCAGGAGGCAGCCAGTTGGCAAATTACAAGGGTAGCCAGGTTTTGAACTCAGGACAACTGAGAACAAATCCAGCAAGTGACCAGAGCATGACTCAAACAAAGGACTGCTGGATTGCGGGTCTGACTCGCTGACCACTCAGCCACGCTGCCTCCTTTCTCAGAGATCTTGATACAAAAATTTCAAACTAACCATAACTGGTTGAAAATCCTAAGTAGGAGAGGAATCGGGACAAGGGACAGGCAGTGGATAAGGAAGCTTAAGTAGTTGAACTCAGGGTTAGCACTTAGAACAAATCCAACTGAGGTGACCAGAGTGAGATTTGTACCCATAGAGTCCTTATTGAGAACTGTACCATAAAACACTGGCTTATGCTACTGTGGCCAAACACTTTCTTGTTTAAGGTGTTGAACTGATTCATGTTTCACTGTTTTATTTGAGACCTATGCTGAAATGGATCCTACAACAGCTGCTTTGGAGAAAGAACATGAAGCTGTATGTATTTTATATACCCACTCATTTATTTACATTTGATTTTGTATGATTTGTTTGGTTGGTTGTTTGTTTACATACTATACAGGTTGTAAATGGCATGTGGCAAGCACTTTCACAACAATTATAAGTTTCCAAGCTACAGGCCACGATATACTGTAAATGAAATTATTGTTGTCACTCAGAAAGATCTCTACTCACGTTAATTTTGGTGAGTGGGCAAGTAGAAGAATACAAATCCTGCTTTCTTGAACAGTAACCTAGTGTGGTTGCTTGTGAAAAATTTTGCTCTTGAAGGGGGTAAATTTATTATTTCTGAATACCCAATGTTTATTAAGGTGTCGCTCAGAGAAAATGATGTATTTCTACAAATTGTATTAACAAAGTAGTGAAAGTTTGATTTTGAAAAGCAATACATGTTGTATAGTTGCATGACGTTGTCAATGTAATCTCGCTGTGTTTGTTTCCTCTTTCTTAAGATTACTAAAATCAAGTTTGTGGACAAAATTCAGTTTGGAAAATATGAGATAGATGCCTGGTATTTTTCACCTTTTCCTGAGGAGTATGGAAAACAAGCAAAGCTGTGGATTTGTGAATACTGTATCAAATACATGAAGTTTGAGAAAACGTACAAAGATCACTTGGTATGCTTCATGACAGATTATGTTGTTTTATAAGTATCGCTTTTATTGTACTTATGTTTGGTATGTTAACTTGTTGCAGTTATGTCCAGTTATTAAGCCAGATTAATGTTCTTGTTGCAAAACTTTGGGAGATTGCTAACCCCCCTCTCCCGCCCCCCCTCGACCATTTTGTTGAAGGATTGAAATGTGCTGAACACAAGTAGCATTTTTACAACAAGACAAGTGGACTTCTGCTACATGCATGTTTGCAAAGAGCGGTTCTGACTGACTAGAAGCATTTTTTACCTCATCTAAAATATCACAAACTGTCCCACTACACAGGTCAGGTGAGGTCAGTAATAATAAAAGAAAGTGTAAACTGACTGACTGACTCACTGATTTATTCATGGTTATTTTGAAGTTTTCATTTGCTGTTTCATCTTCACTGCAGTTCTTCACATCATTAAGTGCTAAGCCCCATGACAGCTGTGGTATGGGTTAAGATATCCATTGCATTTTGTTAGGTGTCTTAAACATGACGCTTGTGCCTAATGTTCACACACATGCGTCCAAAACTACGAGGTTTTATCACTGAACACCTTTAATAATAATTATTTTGTAGGGAAAGTGTACAATGCGGCAGCCACCTGGAAAGGAAATTTATAGGAAAGGAACAGTTTCAGTTTATGAAGTGGATGGAAAAGAACATAAGGTACCATAATAGCAACATAAATGAATATAAAAGTAAATAATCTCTCAAATAATCTCTCAATAATCTCTCTAACCTCTAAATAATCTCTCTCCCTCGACAGTATTTGCACAGTGTGGCTGAGCAAATCACTGACACAAATACATCATCTAAAACATAACAGGGTCCACAATCTCAACCTGTAGGCAGAGGCAGTTCAACTGACTATTTGATATTATGCAAGGCTCTCCTGGCTGTGCTCTAAGAAAAATTGAAGGGAGCCAGGTGCTTTGACTCTGTAAAGGCCAGGGTGCCCGGCCAGCATATGATTTCTATGAAAAAAAGAAACTTAGATTGTCTATTTGCCCAGGAACAACAGTCAGGCAACAGGGGCAACTGGGCACTGCTAGAGCACATCCTTGGTATGTGAACATTTTAACAACCCTCCAAGATAAAGTTTTTGCTTGGTCGCCATTTGGCAACCTACTCTTTTGGTTTAGGGAGACCTTTTGACAAATCAAGTCGCCAACTCCAAAATTTTAGGCGCAATGGCGACCAAAATCATCCTAACTTGGAGGGTTGTTTAATAGAAAATACATGTACTGCAATTCTGAGTAGCCTCTTCATTGTTTCAGATAAAACTTTACCATTTTCATATCATTCATCTTGCCTTTTTTTATATAAAGGGATTAATAGTTATGTTGTCATAATATAATTATACAGAGTGCTTTTACCAGTTATTTGCTATGAAAAATCTTATAATATTAGTTCGTATGACATTGTATCCTAGAAAAATACAATGTAGAAAGACTGCTTGCAGGCTAACAGAATATGTGGTTCTCTTTGAAAGTAATATTTTCTTAAATTTGGACTGTGATAGAAAGTTTTAACATCTGAAAGGTCATTGCATTTCAGTATGTAACTTACATTGTAAACATTTGCAAAAATGAAGCATGAAAAAATTCAGGCTTGAAAGGTATGTGAAGTAAAACCCATGTGACCTCTTCAATACCGGTGGAGCACTACACAGTGATCTTTCATGTACCTGTTACATGCTTCACTTTGTTGTTCACCATTGTCGTTAAGTTGTCTTTATCTTTTTTAAGTTAAGTCTGTGTGATCTTCTGATTCTCTTCACAGTTATATTGTCAGAATATCTGTCTTTTGGCAAAGTTGTTCCTAGACCACAAGACTTTGTACTTCGATGTGGAACCTTTCTTGTTCTACTTATTAACAGAAGTTGACAGGGAAGGAGCACATCTTGTTGGATATTTCTCCAAGGTATGTTCAATTATTAAAAATTATGTAATACCCTGAACTAAACTTTGATAAATCACTAGTTATTTTGTACTTCTGGGATGATGTTGTACACTAATGTCTTAGTGAAGGTTGTTGCTGACCTTTTTTTTTGGTAGGAGAAAGAGTCACCAGATGGAAATAATGTAGCATGCATCCTGACATTACCACCATACCAGAGAAAGGGATATGGCAAATTCTTGATTGCCTTCAGTGAGTAAACGGTCTTACCTTAACTTACAGACAAACTATTTTGGAACTGTCAAAATATTCCTAGGATGCATGCATAGTAGCTACTTACATGTATCTCAGAGGCATTTTCCATTGTATGAAGAGTGATGTTGCCCAAAGAATGGAAAAAAGGGGTTTTACCATTGTGGGGTTCAAAGCCTTAACTCACACACACCCCTCTTTTACTTACTGTCAAATTTTTAAGTGAAGCATCCCCAGTACAAGTTGCTAAGGAGGTGCCCCACACAAGCATGTGTACGTGTTCCCAGCTTGATGAAACTGATGTTTGCCATTTGACGTAAACGTGACTCAAAAACTCTCTATTTTCATTTCTTCTTTGATGGACTATTAAGTAAGAGACAGTTTCTCCCTGTGGACCTCCTTCTTGGAATACTTGTTTTCTTAGGGCACTTTCTGAAAGTCAGAACTGATCGGACCGGTCATTTTGAAAATTAAATAGCCTTTTTGCAAGAGTTTGTGATGAAAAACTATTTCCTTCGTGCATTCTATTAAGGATTTGACTGATCTGATTAGATAGCTGACTATAGTGAAATTCTCATTACAGCAGGAATGGCCTGGCTGGTCAGTTCTGACAAATACAAGGTGCTCTTAGTTTCAAATTGAGTTGTTCTAAATGCATCTAGTTCTTGTCTCTGTAATGCAGTCATTTCTGTAACAAACCCTTGGTTTGACTCTGGCCATCCATTTGATACCTGATTAAAAGGTTCTGCCATACTGCATTTGTGCTGGACTGGACATGGCCTTGCACTGTTAACAAGTTTCACCACTGATGATAAGACCTTATTTGCAGGTTATGAACTTTCCAAGATAGAACAGATGGTTGGATCACCAGAAAAGCCCCTGTCAGACTTGGGTAAACTTAGTTACAGAAGTTACTGGTCATGGATTCTACTGGACATTCTTCGCAACTTCAGAGGAACGCTGTCAATTAAAGATCTAAGGTTGGTGGAGTTCTGCGTTTGAAGCAAGTGTTGCTTGTTAAACCTCATAAGCAACACAATTTTCACATAAGAATAAAATGATTTTATATTTCACTAATTTACTAAATCTGTACATAATCTGTGCAATGTGATATTATTTTTTATGAATACAGTAAGATTGCTTGGTCCACATTCCAACCCATTCTTTGTTGTTTCAAGATCTTTGAATTTACTGGCAATTTAGCGGCAATTTTTTCACTTTTTAACTGTTTTCTCTCTCTAAAGTCAATGTACACCACACTTCACCGTGGTTTATCTCTTTTACATTGTTTGCGTGTATTTGAGGTGAGAAAACGAAATTGGCGATTATATTTGTGCCCCTCCTTTACCCTAATTTTTTAAGTCTACAATCTGTGAAAGAAAGATTCCACTCTGAAAAGGAATTTTTATTGTCCCCATGATGGTGATCAGAATGCAGAGGAAACGAATTATTTACCTTCTTTTACAGTAACATGACAAGCATAACACAGGAGGATATCATCAACACGCTACAATCACTTAACATGGTAAAGTACTGGAAAGGCCAACACGTGATATGTGTCACACCTAAACTTGTCGAGGAGCATGTCAAGAGTGCGCATTACCGGAAGCCAGTACTTTCAGTGGACACTTCCTGCCTGAGGTGGGCGCCACCAGGAAAGAAAATCAAGAAAGTGAAGCATTGATGCTGCTACTGCTGAAGTTCTGGGATGTTTGTGACATAACAGGTCGCGGGATTAGTGATGGATGCCTACATCTGGAACATGTTATGGTGGCTGGTTGTTCAGCAAGATACAGAATGCTGCATAAAATGAACATATATGTGTAGCTTCAGTGAGTTTAAAGAAGCAGTGAGATGCATAGTTCTAATTTGAACTGCATGGTGTCAGGCCACTTGGATGAAGAACTCTGGAACAAACGGATTAGATGTCTTTGCTGATGCACTGAGAGAACTAAGCTTAAAGCATCTCCGTCCCGGTTGATGTACATGCTCTTAATGATTTTATCGTGTCACTGATTTAGCCTCCATGATGGATGCTACTTGTCCTCAGTAATGTTGGGAGCATGCGTCAACCCCTCCATGCCTAAGAAACCTGCCAAACATCAAAACTCAAGAAACACTCACCAGTTGAATGGCCATGGTAACTTCAGACTTACTTAAAAACATTCATAGTCCTCATAATCGACTCTGGCAGGGAAATGGCTAGTATCGCTTCCTTGCCATAAAATGGGATTAAGAAGGAGAAGAAAGTAGAGAAAGCAAATAATTTATAATAAACTAAAGGTAATCAACAGTACCTCTCTAAAACGAGGAATGGGAACGAGAACTAGAACGAGCCAATGCGAAGGAAAATGAAAAATGGGAAAAAACCTCAAACTTTAGCCCGATCAGTAAGTTCACTAGCTATTCTTTGTTTTGTTCCCAATTTTCATTTCCCCGTTTTTCATTTTAGTAACTTCCCCGTGTACGTTTTTATATAGTTTCGCATTTTACTATAACTGACAAAATTAAAGACCCACAAAGAACGTAACTGGCGTACGTGTCATACTGTGCTCTTCATTTGAGTTTAAAAAAATTCTCTCATTGTGTATCCTCTAATAACTAATTTCAGCTACAGTGCTAGTTCTCCATATATGCTAACACATACCCCATCTGAAAGAGAGAAAATTAAAATAGAAAAGAAAGCGAGTTTTTAGGTCGTTCCAGAGGGAAATTTCTAGGAGCTACGGAATTTCTGAAAAGGTGGTCCTGTTGTCGGAATGGTTCAAACGAAAATTTCTGTTACATTTCTTCAAAGCCATAAATGATACCAATTTCAGGCTCTCGCGGCCGTTGTTCTGCAAGGGGTAAATGCGATTTTGCCTGCCGCCATTTGCCCGAACCGTGAACCAACCGGTTTGCCCATGTAAATGGTAAACAACCAAAATGTCCCACAACGTTTCTGGTTTGTCCAACTAAAACGATGACCCGATTGGACATTTCTTGTCACAAGGAAACATTCAGAGGCCTGTAACCGGACGAATATCGTACTCGTGTGGACTGAACAACACTCTTAAGTTTGTATGCGAGTTTACAAGCTCAGTCCAAAGAATTCGTGATCGGTAATGCGCTCATTCTTAGTAACATTAGTGATATTGATACTTCTTTCTTTGTTTCTAAAACAGTGCATCCTTTACCCCAAATCTCTTTTCTCTATTTCCCACACTCGAAGCCGAAAAAAAGGGAACGGGTACATGCAAGCTTTCGGGAGTTTCGGCGCATCGATTTCTGCGATCGATTGTGTGGAGAAGCGTTACCGATGATTGGTTAGTGGTCGCTTTGAACATCATCTACAAGTCTTGACTAAAGCTTGTCCACACAAACTATCCCAGAAAATCACTGCACCTAAAGCTTGTACCTAAGTTTCTGAATTAACTACTCTCACAGAGTCAATAGCGTGATCTCTGAGGGCGAGAATGATTCTCCTGTCGATGCAACAACTATCTGATAAAGTACCCTGCTGAATATACTTTGTCCACTTGGTAACTTGGTGTTTTCTTGTTGACTGGATTGGTGTTTTCTTGTATTGAAAGCTGGCTTTATGTTGACGTGGAATTAAGAACGTGGGCTGCTAGGATAATTGACGACTGGATAACTCGACTTTAAGAACAAAGAAAAACTTTTCTTTTGTTTTGGCTTTTTTTTTTGTTTTGTTTTTTTTTTTTTTTTTGTTTTGGCTGTGGCCATCAAGAATTTTAAATATTTGGGCCTGTTTCAAAAAGGATTGTCGAAAATCAAGAAAGAAACTGGGTTATTTAAGGTGGCTCGACTGGATTTTGGGGGTTGATTAAAAACTCGGCATGGTAAAGATTGAAAACGTGGACAGGAACGCGTGACGAACCCCTAAGAACGTCTGCGTGGGACTGCTAGGATAATCCAGTGACGACGAGACAGATACCTCGGACTTTAAGAACAAAGAATGCCTGAAAAGGGACTAGGGACGGAATAAAGAGTTCGGAAAATAAAGATAGCTTCTTTATATAATTGAGAATTGTTTTTCTTTTACTTTTCTTTTTGTTTTGGCTTTTTTTTTTGTCTTTTTTTGTCTTTTCTTTTTGTTTTGGCTGATCGTGGCCATCAAGAATTTTAAATATTTGGCAACAAATAACAAAGTATTCTGGAGCCTTGTGTTTCAAAAAGAGATTGTCGAAAATCAAGAAAGAAAGCTTCTTAATGGGTTATTAAAAAAAAACTAGTTAGCCGTTTTGGTAAATTTGTGAGATCATTTGAGAGTGATGTAATCACTTGACTGTAAACATTCCACAACTTTGTCAGGGAAAGACTTCCGAGATATCAGTACATTATGATAACCGATAAAGATGGCTACTGTTATGAGCGAGACTTTGTTTGAACTTTGGTTGATATATTATACACCGTGTCAATAATCTGCTAAACGCAATTAAGAAACCTCAAAGCTTTGTTTGTTTCATTTTTCATCGCCCAGTTCAAAATTGATATTAAACGAGTGGAAAGTTCACATTCATTCTCGTAATAACACTTATGTTATCTATTAACTATGAGTAAACCTTGACATCTGAAGAATTTAAGCCAAGTTTTGCTCGATCTATAAAGTATAAGCAGTTGAATGTTATATATTATTGATAACATCAAACAAAATAATTTTGTGAACAGAGTAACTTAATTGCGTCTACTTGATTAACAATAAATGTTTGCTTTTCCCTTCCATAGTGATGATTCCGATGGAGGGGAGAAAGTGCGTTATGGTAATTAAAATCTTTTTTCTTTTTTTTTTATTCTGAGAGCGTGACCTCGTGACCTAAGCATTTTGCTCTGTTGCTGTGTTGGTTTGAATTACAAAAAGATTGTTCAAGCATTGAAGATTAATTGCGTCTGTGCAACACGCCAAGCACACCATAAAGAAAGCTTCCGTTTACGACACTCATCGAAAAGATGTCAAGATTTCGATGCGACATCGCAGCAGAATTGCGTTCCAAGAATAAGACTACAGGAAAAGCGTAACTCGCTGTCCAAGGGGACTACAGAGTTTTGCCAAATACGGTATTTTTGAGCTAACTGTAACAGTGCCATAGTCATGGTTCATATGGACAAATGTTCGAAATGCGTTCGATGGACACTCTTTACCTTTAACTCTTTGGTATGGGTAAGTAACAATTTATCGATCAGACATGCTGGAAGTAAAATTAATTTAAAGATGTCACTCGGGGCACAGGAAAATTAATGTTTCGCGCAATTTTTGCAACATCTGCGCGCGAAGCACAACCTTGCCGAAAACACCGAGTAAGAAACTCGTCATGCTCGGGAGACAAAGCATGTAAACTACCTTGGCCTTCGAGAATCCAAACTGTGCATCCTTTTGTTGTCAGTTGTATTTGCGACTTATTCAGTTCGTTTAATAGGAACAAATAGAAGAAACATCGTAATACAGACAATATTCAAGATTGTATACAAATCCCGTATTGAAACTTCCAGCTTGCGGAAAGGCGGGAGTCGCGTGATTTCCACCGACTTCGTATTGTTACAGACCCAACTCCACGTAACGATCACGCATGATGTTACAACCTTTCCCGTTTTCATGTTTTAAAGTTAGATATTAAACGGGTTTAAGTGTAAGGTCTCTAAGGTATGGTAATCAAGTTTATAAGCTTTGTTCTGACTCGATTCAAAACAATCAATGAGCTCAGTGAAAATACTTCTGTCAAAAGGTATCGTTTCTTTACGTCTTCGTAATTCCGAATATTTTCAGAATTTATCAAGAAGGAAAAGCAAGGAAGATTGTAAATTCTATGAAACACTGTTTGACGACCGTGAAAGCATTTTGACAAGTTCCTTCTAGAAATTAAATTCAGCTTTTACCATGGTCAGATGTTTAAACAAAGGAAGCAAAAAAATCAATCTTGCATGTCATAGCTTCCAACAAGAGAGAAATTTCTCTTCCTTCCAAGCTGTACTTGGACACACTGAACAAACTAAACTGGCTAATGATTAAAAACAAACCATGCAGTAAGGGAGTAATAGTTTCTACTAAATTTTTGCTAATGTTTTTTTTGGGTTTGACCGAATCCTTTGTACTCAAATTAACAAGACGGCTTCTCTTTTTTCTAATTAAAACTTTCTAAATTTCCGCGAAAGTTGTTTTGTTGTTCATACAGCGCAATCAAAGCAGATTCGAATCACTTCGGGTAAGGTAACAGATAAAAAAAATATCGATTCCTGATGGAAATTGTTCTTGTATACACCCAAGATAATCTTTCATAGCAAACATTTTTCTCTTTCGAAAGTACCTGACGGAAATTCGTCCAATTAATAATTAATCCAACAGATGCCTTTGGTCTCCACATTTTTTTAAACAACAAGGCAGAAAATATTGCAGAAATTTGTACAGGTAATAGCATGATTTGTAGTGATATTTGGCATAAATACCACGAGTGATATTTCAAAATTGTTATACGTAATTTGAGACAATTTTGAAATATCACGAGTGGTATTTATGCTAAATATCATGCGCAAATCCTGCTATTATTTGTTACCCGCAAGAGGTTTGTAATTTTTACATGTAGGCGTTTCAAATTAAGCTGAAATACCACTGCTCTAAGCCAATCAAATTGCAGAAATTTCTCCTGTGGTAGTATAACAATTAGGAATTCCTCCCTCGTCAATATTTAATTATTGCAGCTTTATCGCGGACCATGCAGAGGCGTTTTTCCCCGGTTATTTCAAAGTCTCTTGCTAAAAAGGAAAGCTAAGAAATTTATAACCGTGAAAGAGAAAGCCACCAAGTCCTGGGAAGACACGCCAGTAGCTGTACTTTAGCACAATACGGAATTTTACGATATTTGAAACAAAAATAGCGTTATGCAATTTAAAAATCTTGCTTATCTCTTTTGCACTGCACGTACACCGATTCATGTTCTTCTTGCTTCACTTTTTCTCGGCAGCTCGGCGGCTCAGTCATGCTGGGTCTTGGCATCTGGGTCACAACACAGAACACCGAATATAAACACCTCGGTGGAAATCTGGTGAGTGCCGCACAGGACACCCAGTAACGATGAGTGAAAAAATGTTTGCAACGATTTCTCAACCAAACTTAACAATGACCGAATTGGCGAAAAGACTAGTCTCTGTCATACTGCATTAACAAACGTTTTAAGTTTTACGTTGGATAAGGAAGGGGAGAATCGGTTTTACTTCTTACACAAGGCTAGTCTAAGGTCTTTTAATGTTTTACCTATTGGCTCTATAACTAGAGAAGAAGAGAACAGATAGAGATCGTTCTGCAATTTACTTGGATCTAACCATTGAAGTACGGCTAGAAATTGACGCTGACAGTGGCGGATTCAGAATTTCAATCAAGAGGGGGACCACTCATCCAAACCCTAAGATAAGACATGGGGCCGGGGACGGCCTCAAAACCAATGTTTCTCGGCCTTGCAGAGGCCCTGTGGGGCCCAAAAATAAGGTGGGGGCCTGGGTACGGGACCCTCCCCTAGATCCACCAATGGCTCAAGCTGTTTCATTGTTTTGCATCCTGTACCATGTTTTGCTGCTTTACTTTACAGCAATTTAAGCAACAAAATAGGCCACTTCTGAGATCCAAAACCCCTCACTTTCAAAATGAGGCTAGGTGCACGACCTTTCTTATGAAAATGAGTTTTATTTGCATGAGAATGAAAAATGATTTCCATATCAAAGGCTGAGCACCTACTCCCATACATTACCTATAAGGGTATGTGCCGCCCAAAGGGGTGATTTTGAAGCCTGATTTAGAATGGGGTATCCATTTCAGAGGCGTTTTCTAGAACGGGTATAATATTTCGAATGGAAAAGCTCCACTTTTGTAAGCAGCCATTTCAATGTATTCAAGGACAGATTGCTTTTAAAAATACGGTTCAAGTGTTAACAAGCAAACTGTTTATTAGAACAGAGTATAAAAAATTGGCCCATTTCTCAGTTTTAGGCTTAATTCTAGAACGGGGTATAAAAAATTGACCCATTTCTAGAACGGGTATCAAAGGGAAAAAAAACGGGGTACCAAAGCACATACCCCCAAAAAGGGACCCAAGTGCCCCCCCTCGGGCTGAAAACGTTTTGAAACAGAGGCCCAGGGGAACTCGGAAATGACCTATTAGTGTAAGTTTATTAATGTAAGTCTCTATTCAGCTTAAAAATGAAAGAAAAAAAGCAAAGACCAAGGGACCAAAACTTGAGGCTTGAGGCTTTGAATTTGAGCTCCGCTTTTTTCTCAAGGTTGTATATTCACTAAAGTCCTATGTTTATTCCATTCATCCCAAGATTATTGCCATAGATTATATTAATAAACCTGCTACTTGCTATTTTCTTCTTGACTGCAATATAACAGTATAACTTAAAGTGTAAGAAGAAAAATCTCTTTCTGGAGTTAACCGTGTCACCTTTCATATCTTTTTAAACTCATTTTGTTTTCATCTACACACAGTATGTTACTATTGGTTACATCATGCTATCTTCGTTTATATTTATTGTTGGTAAGTAAAGCAAATAATTTTTAAATCCCTTTGTTGCTGTGAAAAATTAAAAACAGAAACAAACGAATTAATTTGTCCGTCATTAGTTTCCTTTGTCAAGTGTTACATTCACTCAACAAACAGAAGTTAGTTTTTTATTACATTCAGCATTTTAAATAAAAGTGACCAATAAAACCATATACATCTTGTTTCGTCACAATATGTCACTTCTGAAGATAACCATTCATAAGACTCCAGAGGCTGTGGTGCAAGTTTGATGAAATAATGTTGTTACGAAGACATTATGATTATCTTATTCAAAAGTTGTATCCTTACTGATCTTCAGAGTGAATGTTTTGTAGCATAACTGACAAGTCGTGAAATGTTATTCTCAGGATTTCTTGGAGCATGTGGAATCCTCTTGATGAAACAAAATGCACTGAAAGTGGTAAGATTTAAGTCAAGTTCCAAAACTCATTAATAATTCATAAAGAACAAACAAAAGAAATTAATAAAAAATGAGTGTCTTTATATCTGATAAAGACACGGCTAAACTTTACGTCCAATTTTTAGACCAAAATAACCCCAAATCTAAGTATTAGTGCAAGAATAAGTTGATATATATCAGAGATTTTGAAGCCATTCAAAAAACTCGAAGTTATGTATTATCAGGTTTAAAAACTCTAGGCGTTCACCTCGAGTTTTAAAGCTGATGATACATGGACAACACACCCAGAGTTTCCCTTCCTTTCCTTCAGAATCAGGTTCTTCTTTTGACCCTTTTTTACCCATCCACCCCTAGAAGTGGTGGAAGTCAACAATAGACGAAAATTCTAACACTGAAAAGCAAATAGTACCAAGCACAAGAATTACTTGTGAGGTTTCATTTGAATGTTCTAATTCACACCATAGGATTTCATACACAGAGTGACTTAACAGTTAGGGGGTGTTTACATGACACTGGGCGACTGTCGCCCCAGAGCGAGTTCACTCCAGTTCCCCTTATGGCTCTATATTTGTTTACATGATACCACCACAAAATGTCATGCTGGCGCGAGTCACCCAAGCGTGAGTTCACCAAGAACGGGGGCGAGAATTTCACTCCGGAACGAAATCTCGCAACGGTATCATGTAAACATGTGAAATCGGTCTGCCGGTAATGTTTGCAATTTTGAATCTTATGTGTATTTTATCAACATGAAGTGTACCTTCAAATAACGAGATATGAAATGACCCAGTCATAATGTAAATGCGATACAAAATAAAAAAGTCATCCCGGTATGAAACTCGTGCCGGTGCGAGTTTTCTCATGTAAACACCCCCTTAGAATCCCCAGGCTGCATCATTTTTCCTACAACTGGGAGTGAAAGGGTTTAGGTAGACCCCTCTCTTAGATGGACACCAAGGGCCAGATCAATGTTTCTATCTTAGACAGAGAGTTGTTTTTGCAACTGTAGCTCAAACAAAGGAAAGAGACATGCTTCCATTGCCATTAGCCAAAGGACCTAGAAAAGGGAAGCGCTTTAATTAATGCCAGTGAAAGGCTTATTTCTCCCACCAGCTTCCATACAAATTCATCCGATAATACATTTTTTACAGATATGATGAATTGAAGCTTCACGAAATAAGCAACAGTACTCTAGTGAAAGATCCCTTTTAAATCAATTAGGTAGTGAGGCTGCTGAATAAAGAATTGATTCAAAATGTGATTCTATTGATATTTTACTGCTGACTATGACATACTGAAAATATGATCCTAAAATGTTTTTAAAGAATTTTTTGGAAAGAAAAAAGAGGTGGACATCGTAATCGATCAACTGTTATAAAAAGCACTTGAAACAACAATTAAACTATCATTTTTTTGTTTTAGTCCAAGTATATAGAAACTGAGGACCATTCAATGTCTATTCATCTGTCTTAAATGGGTTATTTATTATTTAATTATTATTGTATGACCATGCATTTAAAAAAAAATGACTAACTTTACATATCGTGCCTCCCTCCTTATAGTATTTTGCACTGATGCTGTTGCTTTTAATGGTGGAACTTGGAGTAGCCGTTTATCTTTATTTGGAGAAAGACAAGGTCCTGATCAGAATATAAATATTACTCGCTATATTGTAGTGTTGTGTCTTTTTTCCTTTTAGTTCTTTCATCATTTTTTTTGTCGACAAAGTTTATGATATCTAGGAATTTTGATCAGGGGAGGGGAGGGTTAACCTTTAGTTGTGGTGAAGAAGGGCCATTTCAGGGGGGAGGGGATAGATTATTATTAACCTAAGGTACCCCACCCATCCCTCTTAGTCTGCCCCTGTAAAGTTTCAAAGGTTATTATTTTGTGGTTAATTAGGCAAAGTAAAAGGTAAAGAATCTAACATTATTTCTGACATTTATCAACTTAGATACAGGATCACATTGAAACTAACTGGAATGAAACCTCAGATGAAGCTAGAATTATTATTCAACAAGAGGTGACCAATATTGTTTTGTTAGAACAGTTAAATATTTTCTTGATTTTTTTTACCTTTAAGGCTTTAACTTATTTTATACCACTTTGTTCACACTGCTTTTGATAAACTATCACACAAGACAAGGGGTATTATTTGAAATGTACACTAAGAAATGAAAGAAAGTTATGTTTCAACCACCTTTGAGGCATCTGTCAAATATCAGATAAAAACTTAATTGTTTCTTGTTTTTATTTGACAGAACTTCCTTTATAGGCAAGCAATGATTATAAATCCTGCAGAGGTTATTTCCTTAGAAAATAAAAGCCAGTTTGGTGTACATTGCACAGAAAGAAAAGAACTTCTGTATGTATCAATATCTGCCTTATGCATTCTTTCTTTACCTCAACAGTTCAAATGTTGTGGCCTAAAGCCTTTGAACCTTGAACACAAATCAAGTTCTGACAAGTCCTGTTTTGTTGATAATGACACAACAAAGGAAAGATTAAAGGTATGATAGGATCACTCCAGAATAACATTCAGAATGATGTTGCACGACTATCCATGGTAGGTGATAAGGTTGACCCTTGGCTTGGTCATAAGATTCATATTAATATTATTTTACTAAAGGCACGGTAAAACTAAGGGCAACAAAACCATGCAAGTTGTTTTGCCACATTTGAGAGATTACTCCAAATGGCAAATGTCAATTTGTACCACGTGACCAAGTTTTCCCCTTAGTTGTCGTTTGCTGTTTAATTACTTCTACTCAAAATAAGTAGTTTTATGCCAGTTTTATCCATAAGAATTGTTCTGCACAGTTTTTATCTGCTTATTTTCTATTCTGAGAAATTCTCAACTTGAATCTGATGTTTGCTGTTTGTCGTAAATGTGACTCTTAATCTCTCTATTACTGCAAAACAATTTGAAAGGGGATGTTGCGCATTTTACCACCTGTTTTGGGTTGTTGCAGGTTGAACCACTCTCTAATAACCCTTTAAGTCCCAATAGTGACCAACATCAATTTTCTCCCAATGATATCCGTAGATTGTCAAGAGAATAGGTTATCAGAATTAATAAAATGATCACCTAAAAGAAAATGCTTTGATCTTTTGTCAAATTCTCTCAACTCATTCTTTAAGGAAATATATAGAGATCAGTTTGGAGAATTTGTATGTGGACATTGGGGCTTAAAGGGATAAGTGCAATAAGAATAAAAAGCTCCAACACAAACTTTATTGTTTAGTCTCTATTAAAGTGACTTTTTGTACTTCCTGTGTTATTTGCACTTCTAATGTTTATTTATTTATTTGTTAGGACTGTTATACACACTTGATGGACTGGATTAAAGAGAATCACATCATTTTAGCTACTTGTTCTGTTGCTGTGGCTGTTTTACAGGTAAATGAGATTATAAAGGTTCCAAAAAATGTGCTTACAACAATAAATTATGAAACTTAAGAACTGAACATGGAATCACCCACCATGACAATGCATAGTAAGTACCAGTAGCACCAAAGGAAGTACTGTCCACAACTTTTAATTTAAAGCTAAAAATTCACACTTTACAAGTTTACATTACTACAAATAGCAACCATTTATTTGCTTGTTAACTTATACTTCATTAACTCAGTGGTGATAATGAGTGTTAATCTGAGGGTTATTGCAATCAGCTGATCACTAATCCATCAATTTGGTTATTTTCAGATGTTTATTCTGGGAGGAACCTGCCGGCTTATTGCAGAGATTGAGTCTGGTGACAGATCGGTAAAGCGCACCAGAGTGGTACCCTTAAATATTAAACAAGATCATCAAAAGCAAGAAGTTACAACACAGAAAAGCACTGGACATATACCAGTAAATGCTGGTCCAATAGCTCCCAAAGCTGGTGCAAGTAAGGAGCCACAGGAAGATGCTGATGAATTTGAAGAAAGCAAAAAATCAAGTATAGCTGCGAGAAGGAACTGGGCTAAAGTGAATCCTAAATACAACTCAATTCTCAGCCTTATTGAACAATAGTTTTACTGAGAGTTTCTGGTTATTAGTCATTTGTAATAGAGAAAATTTATCATGCATTTTTGGGTTAAGTGCCTAGAGTGCTAAAACCCCAAATCTAATTTATTAACCTTCAGACATCTAACAGTGGTCAACCCAAACAACAGGATGTCAAGATTGTTTTGTGGAACTATAACAAAAACTACAGCAGTACCCAGGAAGCACATGTTAAGTTATTATTTGTCTGCCAACTAAAAGCTACAAGCACCTTGTACAGTGTGATGAATGTAAATATAATATTATTATGGCCTTTTTTTCTTTCTTTTTATTATAACTGCATCCAATAATAACATTTATAACTTACGGTCTTGCAGACTCCATAGGATTCATGATAACAAAAGAACTTTCCTTATTTAGACTGTTAACCTGACTTAGCAAGTAGAGATGGAGACGTTTTTACATTTTGAAAAAATATTGTGGTTGTAGTTGTCAGTAATAACATTTATTTTAAGGCTGTTTCATGGGCCCTGGTGGCTATGTCAGAGACACTAGTTATCTTTAGGAAAGAAAATTTTTTAACTGATACAATCATTGTTGTAATTTGCTGTGTGCAAGAGTGAGATCAACTAATGGTATTTATAAAGAGAGGTACACTGTAAGATATTCTTTTATTTTGGTAGGATAAGCATATTTTTAGTATCTGTGAATAATACAAATAATGTTAATAAATATTAGTGAGCAAAATACCATAAAATATAAATTAATCAATACATTGCAATCTGCAGTTTCCTCTGTTGATTACATCAGTTCATTGTTCTTGAAAACAGTTTGCCTAGCACTTAATTTTTTCCACACTCTTTACTGTAGCTATTCACTACCCTCTCTTTTCTTTTCTTTTTATAGATGAACATACAAACTGGACCCATGTTTCAAAGCAGAACACAAGGGGTTGGGTGGGGGGAGGGGGCTGGCAAGCAAAAAACCCCTACCCCCTCATGCTTCCTGCTTGTTTCACTCATTACATGTCATTTTCCATAACGTTTTGTTTGAGAAAATATTAAGCCTGTGAGCGATCTGCTTTGATTGCAGAATTTCTAGCTAAAATAACTGTACACAAAAATCAATTTTACAGTTCAAAATGTCTTTTTGCTTTTTTTAAGGGTCATAAGAAGCAAAATTAATTAGAAATGAGGACTCATACACTAGCTACTTGCTTCTGTTTAAAACCATCCATCACAATTTTTTCAGACTAAAATTGCTTTTCCTAAGGTATGAAAAGATGTGCTGCAGATGTTAAAATTCATATTTAAAACTGTAGTATTATTCCTGATACCATATACCAAATAATTCAAGATGACCTTGTGATGTCAGCCATAGAGGGTGTTACGTAGGAATGAGACTTCTGGCAGATATTGTCTGACTCCTGGGTAACACTGCACCTACATCACAAAAAAGATAAAAGTACATCAGGATGTTTGTCACAACCTTGAAAATTGATCCTTTACATCTCACAAATACTTTGACTGTGATAAAGAGTAGACAACTGACATCTTCCTGAAAAATTTTGGGACTTTTCAAGAACTTACTTAATTTTTAAAACAGTTCACATTAATAAAAGAAGACTGTTATTGCACCATACGCTAAACAGAGGATATTACATGGTCGTGCAGAGATACAGATTTTCTCTTTGAGTGTTGAAAAATATTTCACGAGTCTCCAAGATGCCATGCAATGTTCTATTTATTATATAAACACCAATGAAATGCCAAAAAATTTCACTTAAATATTTTTTGCTACAAAAGGTGCGATTTATTATGTAGCCACAGCAACAGTGATCTTTTCATATGCAAAAATAACATGTTATTTTCACATGTGAAGATAATTATCATGTTTTTGCCCAAAAGCTCACCTGGTATTTCATTGGTGATTATAATTATAATGCTAGGTTATAATGAGTTCTACATTGAATTTCCTTTAAAAAACACATACTTATTTCAGACTCATGACACTTGAAATTCCCTACTGGTACAAGGCACCTTTGGGCTCTTGTGATTTAGAATTTGGCCATAGTGTTGTACTTTATCATCTTTCCTGAGTTTAGGTAATGCACTGTCTTGCAACATATCCAAGTCGTTGCCAAAAATTATGAGTCATTCTGTAACTTGAATGCACTGTCAAAAATGACCTCTAAATCAAGGGGATGTTTTTACACTGTAGATGCCTTGGCCTCCCTAACCACACCCACCACACAAGTTTTAAATATTATGATCTAATATATAGATTTGGCCAGCACTAAAAGCAAAGCTCTCATTAATATCCATCATTTACTCAAACAAAATATATAATAGTGTAATGCTAAGCGGCAACAGCTAAGAAAACGGCCAAAAAAAATCAGTAGGTCTAATTTAGTAAAAAAAAAGATGACTTTGCATGAGCAGCATACGTTTTATGGAGGAAATGTTGTATGTGTTCTTGTTCACTTTTTCTTACTGCCGCTCATTTTCCCTTTGGTGGCCACTACCACTTCTCATTTTCCCAATGCGCTACAAAATGTTCATGTTTTTCTTCCAACAAAATTGGTCTCTCTCACTCTAGCTCTTTCGCTGTTATCCAAGTCAATGTGCATCTGTAGACATTAAAATTAAGTTGAAAGAAAGAATTGGCTTTTCTATTGTTGTTTTTTATCTCTATAAGTTCGGGTAGCTATGCTATTTACTGCCAAAACGGGTGGGTGCAAAATTTCACCCCAGCTTACATGAAGGGGCGGATATACATACGGACGATTTTGTCAGAACCAAAATTTCTTGGATGCATCGATAACCAAATTTTCTTACCCATGGTGCTCCGCTGCATGCGCTTCCGCTATTAATATTAGTTGAAACAATACCATCCTCGGAGACCCAGGGGCAGTCGGTCGGGTTGGGAGAAAAGGCGGGATGAAAGTTTTCAAGTACGGGCAAAAGAGCCCCTGGGTAGTGACTCTCACCGAACTATTTCCAAAAATTCAAGCGGATGCCGGCTCCTGATTGGGCACAAAAAATGCTTTGTATTATTGTGCCCAATTGGCGAACAGCTTCTCCTGAGTTCTTTTCGTGAGTTCGTACACGACAGCTATTGTCTTGATCAAGGCTTGTCTGGATGCACCAAAGAAATGTACGCAGTCAGCAAATAAAATCCCCATCTGATTTCAAAATATTGTCTGCCCGAAAACTAAAGACGCTTTTCCAAAAATATAAGCTTGAGCTTACAACAGGTATTCACGCTTGCATCGGTCATGCGTCAGACGCAAGGGAGTTTTTAAAAGAGGGATGGCTTTTGGAAAAAATTCACATTTTTCAGTCTCTGTCGTGATTATTCCAACTCGCTTACTTTGTCAAATGCAAGTGAACTCTTCTGCAGCTGAATTTCTATTAACCATATCCAAGTTCATGAAAGAATGAATTTTGTCATTGCTTGTTTAAGTCCTTTTTCAGCATTTTCTCTATCGTGCAGTTGATTATTCCAACACATTTTTTCAGTCTCTATCGTGATTATTCCAACTCGCTTACTTTGTCAAATGCAAGTGAACTCTTCTGGAGCTGAATTTCTATTAACCATATCCAAGTTCATGAAGAGAATGAATTTTGTCATTCCTTGTTTACGTCCTTCACAAAACGTGAAATTAGGCATTTTCATGGGTAGTAGTGCAGTTGACGGCAAAGAAATGTACAAGAAAGCATGATGCACATGCAAAGTTGTTGTTTTGCCTTGTGAAGCTATTGCTAATTCGACTTTCTCTTCACTGAAAACTTTTTTCGATACATGTGATCTGTCCTTTGCTTCTGCTGATAGCATCCCAAACTTTGGTGACTGCCCCAAATTTGGTGAACGAACAAGGCAAGTGTGGCATGACAATAGCCAATGCCGGTACGAACTCACGAAAAGAACTCAGGAGGGTCTACAAAGCACTTTTGTGCCCAATCCGCAGGATGAAACAATACCTGATTGAACCACCTCCGAGGATGAAACAATACCTGATTGAACCACCTTGATAAGTTTATGAGTTGTTCTTTCCCATGCACAGTCAATTCCAACATAACAGGATGCAAAGCATAGTACAACATGATATCTGCTAGGGTTAGCTCATGACCCACAAGGTACACTCTCTTAGACATGAACTTGTTAAGATCCTGAACAAGAATAAGAATATTTAAGTTACCTTTATAGTTTCCTGAACAAAAAACTTCAGGGTTTATAGGGATTAAAAAAGGTCTCGTCCAGTGGTCTCTGACAAGTAGCCTTTCTTGTTGGGCAAGTGACTTTAAAAGCTCACTTGCAAATGAGCAACGTAAACTGAGGGTGTGCTCAGTTAATTGTATTCCGGAATAAGAATACACAAAAGTTTTGTGACAAGTCTCTTGTACTGAGCAATATTAAATATGTTGCATGCAGGTATATGTCCAAATTTTGGAAATATAACTGAATGCAACATATTTTATTTCAAACAGACTACTAGATATTACAATGCAATGAATGTCAAAACAAGTGATTTCTAGAGCTTATTCCATGTAATTTCTGGAATATGGTAAATCAAACACACCCTTAGACAAGCAAGCAATGATGCTGGACACAAAATATAAGAGTTATTTGTCCACTAGACAAACTGGAAATTCAAGTTCTTTTTTAGTCCTTGAACTTTGATCAGGCAGGTTTCCGTCAGTTCTCAGTGAAACAGATCAAACATCTCTGCTTTAGAAAGCACCACGTTTCCCATAGTTTTGTTAGTATTTTACAGTGAATTACCTGGTCAAGCATCCCTGGGAAGAAAACAAAGTGAACTTGATTATTTTAATGTTGAGTTCACTATTGGTTTTAAGATTTCACTCAAATCTTGGATTATTCATTTCAGTCTTGGGGACAGTCGGTCATGCTCCACAGGTTAAGGTTACAGTACAGGTAAATAATATTTTCAAGGTTTGTAAAGTCACTTCAAAACTAATTTGTTTTAATACACCTCACATAGATTGACTTCTCTTTGCCACTTTGAAGACTGATGCCTTATTAATCCAGTCACAATTCAATTCTTGAATCACGTATTTTTTTTCATTACATTGTATTGATTCTTCAACCGGAGAATGGGATATTAAAATCAATAATGAGCTCAACATTGCAAGTTCAAATTTTATTCTTCCTAGGAATGCGAGACTAGATTTCACTGTAAAACTGCTCGTGGACTGAACTTTCATGTGATTTTTGGACTTCATATAATTCACATCGGTTAAATGTTTGTTTGTGCAGCTAATGTTGTAAATTTATAAAATCTATCAACTACAACATCTTGAGAAAAATACCAGTACACCTACTTCACCAAGATCTTTACTTAAAATAAAGGCTAAGGATGTGTGGCAAATTCTTACCTTCAGAGCTCCGCATACTTGAGTTGTATCATTTAAGTATTTCTCTAACTGAAGCTGCCAGTATTCTAGCCACTGATCAACTTGAGCATGCTCCAAAGCTGAGTTACCCAACAATGTTTGTCTTGATAAGGCAGAAAGATAAGAAGCCACTGTTCGCACACCATGCACTGTTTGACCAGTACTTAGAGTCAGGGATGGGACCTAAAATAAATTTTTAATTACTAAATAAATAGCCTGAGAAAACAGCCAACATTAATTTGGTGATGCTACCACTGGTTTCCCCACCAAATGACATCTGAGAAATGAGCGCAGAAATTTCATACTCATGATGCATCACTACCCAGATCTGGGTAGTGCTTCTGATTGGTTGAAATAAATTTCCCACGCGGCACAACCAATCAGAAGCACTACCCAGATCTGGGTAGGGACGCAACATCAGTACGGAATTTCTGCACTCGTTTCCCAGACATCATTTGGCAGGGAAACCAGTGGTAGCGTCGACAAATGTCGGCTGTTTCTCAGGCTACTAAATAAATAGGTGAATAAATGTCTTAACTCCTAAAACAAGCCATCCTTGAAGGGTCTGTTAGTCAAGACAACAACAATGATTTTTTGAGTGAGGTACAGAATTGCAAAAAATTAATTGAGTGCTAAAAAAAACAAGTCTAACAAATGTGCTCTTTTGTTATTCTCTTGTTATTTGATGTGATGTAAATGAGCATGAGCTGCTTTTCTGCAGTTCCACACCTTCGAGGATTTTCTGTTGGCACTTTTGAAAAAAATGTCCAAAATTTTGCTGGTTTCTGTTCAACAAAGAAAAAATCTGAACCACTTATTTAAAAACCTGCTTTCCTTAGCAGAAGTTTTGAGTCCCATACAAAGTCATTTATTTGAATCTCATTATTAAACAAAAAAAAACTTATTTCAAGTCGACAGTTTACTGACTGATTGAGTGAAGAACCTTCATTTCCTGTTAAGTTATGCCAGTCTTCAATGGGCTTTGAAAACGTTCCATAGGTTCCAGCATGCAGAAACCACTGCTCACAGGTTAACAATAAAGCCCGTTTCAAATGTTATGCAAAAAAGCTGGATCAACTTTAGCCATACATATACCTGCCAACTTTTTCTGAGATGTAGGCGTGAGATTTTTATCCTGGGAGTGCTGGGAAGTATGCGATTATTAATTGGCTTTTAAAATGGTTTCAGACGTCAGAGGCACAAACCTTAAAAATAAATTCAGTCACATAAAAATTTAAGAACCTTTTGACCCCATTTACATAAGAACCTGCTAAAATTTGAAAAAAAAAAGAGTCAAAAAAAAAAAATTCAGGCCGGTTAATTCAGAATATATTTTTGAAATGTATTCTAATATATGTGTCATTAAATTAATATATAACCTTTCTACCATTTATAGTTATAATCATTATATGAACTATTTTCGGCCTAAAATTCCACTAAACACGACAGACGCTTATAACAAACCTTAATTATAACTATATGAAACGGGCCAAATTAAGTGGAAAGGCAATTTTGATTTTCAACCAAACTGCAGGAGCTAAAAAAAAAAATCCACACCTTAGTAGAGGAAGCATGTCCAGATTCTTCTATGCGTACTCTTTCCTTTGGTATTTTGCAGAAAGCCAGTAAATTTTCTATTTCAGTGCAGCCATTCAAGGACAAACTCGCGGCAGCCATCTTGGAAATTGTCCTTACGGCAGTCACCGCTGACTGATTGGCGTTACAAGAGAATGGTATTGTGGTACCTAGTTTCTCGCGATTTTAGAAACACCGGAACAAAGAAAGTCAAAACAAAGAAATCATCAGCTGCGAAGCCGGTGAAAAGAATTATAAATTTATTCTACAGCGACACATGGCACGGAAATAATTCCTAGTACTTTTTTTTGACAAATCAACTTCGACTTGAATGTAAGTTAGTTCTTTGTTTGATCTGTAGTTTATTTAATTGATATCACTACTATAGTACCGACGCTGATAATATTCGGGGGCTGTCGAGTAGATTCGACGAAATATCGAAAATGTAGATTTGACAACGGACGCTTGGTCAAAACTAAAATACCAAAGCTTCCAAGGAATCCTCAGTAAATTAGCAAATGTCTATGTGAGTGAAAACGCTATGCTCCATCAGACTTTCAGATGTCAATTTATTTTGAATAAGAATTTTACATGTAAAAGCCGGTTCCTAGCAGCGGAGAATTTTATAAAGGTAGTTGTTGAAAACGACGTCAATGTTTCCGCATGCATCTTATTATTCAAATTATCTGTGTTATTTTCAAAGAAATAGTTTTTGTATCCCACGATAATATAAAATCAATGCCATGAATTTCTTATTTCTTTAAAACGTTCTGCTAGTTACCTGTTCAGAGTTTTCAAAGCTTGTAAAACTGAATGTACAAATGAAATAGACAAAGCATTCATCAACTGAAGCGCGGCAGATCGCCTTACACCTTAAAACCTCGATAATAGGAAAATAAGCAGTGTAACAGAGAAACCTTTAAATATATTTTCATTTTTTTAACCAACACTTTGAATGTATTGCCGGGTATAAAATTTGATTGTACGTACAATTGACAGGAACATCAGCATCAGCATTAAAACTATTAAAAAATAAGGCAACAATCACAAAGAGATTAAAAACTGAGCGGGAATATACTTTATAGATGCGACGCATGGGATTAATCTGATAAATATCATAGAACGCTTGTTATGCCTCTGAAAACAATTAGACAAAAAAGAACGCGAAATAGGTCTCGCGATTTCAGGCTAAAAGTAAAATCCCAGCAAAAAAAATTAAAACCACTCCAAGGGGCCAACGGGAGTTGAAAATGAAACGAATCAGTGGGCTTGGAACTAAACGTCAATACCAAGTGGTTTTGCACCAAAAAGTATTGGTTAGTACTGACCGGAAGTCATCTGAGAAATGAACGTAATCAAAAAATGGAGACCACCGCGATGTACTGCAAGTGACCAACATATCATATGATCTCTACTACAATTTTACAATTTTTCAACTTTTGCTATTAAGGTGATTCCTTAGTAAAGTAACCTAACATAGACTGTAGCTGAAACTTGGTACGATGGTTGAACAAGTCAAGAAGATGATAAAAAAGTAATAAAAAGTGGGGGTCACCGTGCTCATTTTGACGTCACAATGCTGACAAATACGGCTATTCGGGACAATTTTACAAAAACCGCGGGCAGCCAAAACTAGACAAAAAGGAGAGATTATTTCGATGATGCATGTGGTATCGCACAGAATTTAAATTTAATGTATTTTTTATCCACTTACGTACCAGAAAAATGTCTTTTAATGCCCTTGTTTTTACTTTACGCTCTAAAGTGGAATTAAATTGGACACGGGCTCTTCGACCCGTGATAGCTCAATCCGTACAATTTAGTAAAATAGCCGAAAAACTGAACATAGATTTGTGCCAATTTTTTTCTCTATTAAAATCATGAAATAGAAAATGGGGGTTACCGTACTCGTTTTTGCGGTAGAGCTGCAGAAAGAGGGCACCAAATGCATTTTCTCCGATTTTTGAGAGAGGACTGGGGCGAGTTTCAAATAGAATGTATGGGAAAGGGGGGAAGAAAGTATTTAAAAATCCGTTTTTACAGAAATTACCTTGAGATATCACATTTAGGACACAATGTGACAAAGAAAGCGTTTAAATGAAAATCAAAGTGAGTAAGCACAAGTTAAACATCCACTATCGAGGTTCTCCGTGAGGAAGTCGAACTCAGCAACACGCGTACTGCTTACGTTATGCACATTCCCAACACATTGAGTCTTTCCTGGGCAAGAAACAACAGCAAGCAAAAATTCTAATAGCGTTTCTCTTCAGTCAACTTTATTTTAATAATGTTACTTCACATGCTCTTTTTTACGGCTGCCATCTTGTTGAACGTACTTCAGCGGCTCTTTGTGAATTGTTATTCTGACCCTACCTCCTAATTTCGATTTTTAATTAGAGGGCCGATTGCGTATTTGATACCGATTTCGTGTTTGCATGGCGATAGCAGACTATCCATGGTTTTTGATCCCATCTCAAGTGTCGGGTCGTGCTTGATTTTGCGCAAGCAATTTGACGCGTGCCTTTTTGCGCAAGCAATTTGATGCGCGCCTTTTTGCGCGAGCAAGGCTCAAACTTTTTTTCATACTGTCGTCATTCTTCGCAGATCTTGTTGTTGACCCGGAGAAGCACTGCAACGAACGAAAGCGTTGCCTAGTCCCTGTGAACAAAATTTGAAACATTGAATGTAATGGGATGCCATCATGGCAGAAGTTTTTGTTCTGAGCAACTTCAATCTTCCATCTTGTGCAGGTTGAAACGTTTGCATGAAGCAACGGCAAGCAAAAAGGAAACTTGAACGCTGACGCATGCAAAAGTTTACTACGTGTGATCAGCAGATGTTGAAGATGACGGGAACTAGACGAAAGAAAAGATCACAAAGTGAGTGTTTTTCTTAGCAAAGTTGTTTTAACCACGGTACACTTCAATAAAAAAATTTCGTCTTATACGCTAATTCAGAAACATATATTATACTTAAAACTTAACACGATAAGGAGTAGCAGTGAATGGTAACTATAGAAACAACAACAAAAGAAAACCAAGAAGCTGTAACCCTACTAAAATGAGATGGAATTGTTATGAAGCCTGTCTAATACCTATTTGTTATATGTTTTGTTAGCTTATTTGAACTTGACGGTTCACATCGTTCGATAGCATTCCTACCATTTTGATCTTTTCCACCAATGTCGAACTGATTAATTCAGTTAGGAGTTGGGTGAACCAAAAAAGCTAATGGATTGTGCACCGTCAGGGAGCTGACAACATAAACCGGCACCGCCGTTGTTTTTATCTCTTGAAGTTTGTTGGCTTTCATATCCAGACTCATGGCTATAAACTATGCTGTAGCTGTCGAAGTAACACGCTGACAAAAATGCACTGAGAAAATCAAGTTAGACAGACGTTGTTTGTCTTTCTTAGAAGCCGTCTCGATTAAAAGTACTCAAGTATTTGTTGAGATTAGTAAGTTGTAACTATTGGTCGGGCTGCGGATCGGTCTTGAAATATCTTTTTTATTTTGTAGGGCCTGTAAGCATTTTCAAAAGATTAAAGTACGACGTACTACATTCAACTGATCAAAGATTACTTGACAGCCAACTTAGGACCGCCATAAGCTCAAATGCACCAACGCGCCATATTCACAACCTGTTGTTACGCGGGGCTGACGCGAATTGCGTTGATTCATTAGGTTATTCACCCTTACTTTTGGCTCTTAAAGCACATTCATCAGAGTACTTACTAGACACCGTCAGGGTACTGTGTGAGTTCGGAGCCAACGCGAATTACAGGAGTAACCTCTTCTACGGGGACTCTCCCCTTCATTTCGCCGCAGCACTTAACAATTACGAGCTCATAGAACAGCTGTATCATTTCAACGCGGATGTCCACGCGCGAAATCACGCAGGATATACGTCTTTGCATGTGGCAGCGCAAAACGGAAACGAGGCTAGTGTGGCGGCGCTCTTTCTTTGTGGAGCGGACCTGGACTCCAAAGAGAATTACTGTGGTTACACCCCTCTCCATTTGGCTGTGATTGGCCAGTTTCAAGACGTTGTAACATCATTAGTGTCACTGGGCGCAAGTATTAACCAAAGGGATAATTGCGGCTTGACGCCGATTGACCGGGGCACCTCAGAAGTCATTCGGGCATTACTGGTTAGAGCACTTCAACCAAACGTATCAAGCCTTGAGTCACTTTGTCTTGCTATTATCAGAGAAAAAGTAAGAAATGTTGCAGGAATAAATGGATTTGATAATCTGCCTCTTCCTTTCACTTTAAAGAAGAAACTTCAGTTAAGTTGAAAACAAAAAGTCCTGATCGAAACTAGATAAGAAGACGACATTTTTACAAACTGATAGCTAGTTAGTTTTTATGGGCCCTTTCGATAACTCAATATAGTTCCTCAAATTTGATTTTGTTTATAGCGGCATTCTTAACAGGGAACGGCAAAAGTGATCGGGAATGGTACCTACTTTTTTACCCTATTTTATCTCGCCGGCGCGATTTCGCTAGAAATTCACTTCGATCGGCTAAAACTGTGACAATTTCTCTTTCTATAAGCAATACCATAACGCAAGCTCCGTTTGTCTGACACTCGCACTAAGGGTAAATTAACTGAATTATTGTATCATACACATCAATTTTTGAAAAATAGCCAATCTATAGTCAGTGATGAGTCTGCAGTGCTTTGTGTAGGCTCTACTGCGGTGAAACGGCTGATGGTACTAAACGCTCACTAAATATCGAGTTTAGTTGGGCTTGGATTTAACATTTTGAGTATATTGCAATTAATTTTTACCAAATTGTTTCTTATGTTGTACATATTTAATCCTATGAAATAATTTTGACACCAATTTTTAACTTAATTATTTTACGAAATGGACTGAATCAATAAAATTTTTCATTGATATAGAATATCATACGCGTTCTTTGGATGTGGCTTCAAACGAAGATGTCTGAAACGAGAGAGAATGAAATGCATAATATAATATCCACCCAACACTGGTGACACCATTCTCACAATTTGAAAGCGCATTTAAAGAAAGTTTCTAAACTTTAGGTAAAATCGTTTCCTCTCTCATTGATCCTTATAGCCTTTCAGGAAAAGTGAACACCCTTAAGTAACGGTATAACGATTTTATTTGCACGTTAATCAAATAAGCGACCTAATAATTAAGTTAACAATGTTGATGAATATTGGTCTGGCCTCGGGTTTACCATACAATCCAGGATGAATGCGATTTTGAGCTTCAGCTTACTTGGCTGGCGGACAGGTGCACAAAACTTTCAGTTGTCTAACGGTAGTAGTTTAGTAGGGATGAAATCATCCTCTTTTGGGGACAGAAATTTCATTGAGAAGGACAGGAATACATGAACTCTGATGAATTCATGGTATTTCGTCTTTATCTCATGAACGAAATGCGGAAAAATCTAATAAAAAAAGGTCATATGTATTATCTTTAGGTGGCTTAACCCGTTGGACGGCTTATGCAGTTACTTCTAGGAAGACGAAGGTCGTGCTTTTTGACTAGTCGACTTAAAACTAAGAAATCGTGCACATTTAATGAGGACGAAGGCAAACTCTTTCTACCTCGAAAAACAGTTTTCCAATTTCTCTCCGTTCTTTTTTGTTTCTCCACATTTCTATTGCTTTCTCACCACCAGATTTCTATTTCCCTCCTCCTCCACCTACACATTATGGACCCTACACATCGTTTTCACATGACGTCACGGCAGCCATATCGAAAAGCTTGTAAATCACGCGCCTTCGGCTCGTGATTTACAAACTTTTCTCGTGTTCTCCCAACATCCCGCGTGGGTTATCACGCCGATAAACCCATAGAAAGTGTGGTTTATAGCTTAAATCAATCGTGAATATTGAAGCTGTGTAGACTATATACTACCACCACTACAACACATGTCTATTGTTTTCCCTTCCCCACCACAATCACATTTCTATTGGTTTCCCTCCACCTCCACCGACACCACCACTAAACTTCTATTGCTTCCCCTCTTTCACCATCCTCACATTCCTATTGTTTTCCCTCCACCACCACATTTCTATCTTTGTCCCTCCATCACCACCAACACCATCATCACATTTCTATTTTTTTCCCTCCACCACCAATACTACCACATTTGTATTGTTTTCCGTCCACCACCGCACTTGTATTGTTTATCCGCCAGACAAGTTACATTGATGGCCCGTGAGTCCTTTTCTTTAATTTTGCTCTGATTTTGGTTATATATGCCTGATTTTGGCCTTTACTGCCTGGTTTTGGCTTTTTTGGCCTCGTAGAGGACATTACACATTCAAAAGGCAAGACCTTCATCGACCTAGAAATAACTAGAAAAGCTGTCCAACTGGTTAAGCCGCCTAAAAATAGCATTTTAGGATTCCACAGCATTTTATTTATGAGATAGAGACATAAGGTTTTGTCATCATCGGCGTTCATGTATTCCTGCCCTTCTTTAGCGACGAAGACTCGAAGACCCCTGCTCAACTGTGTTCTCAGTACCCGCAGTTACCACAGTGCTGACTGCAACACCGACCGCTCTTTGGTGGGCAGTTTGGTGGGCAGCAAGGTACGCCTTCAACTTATAAGTACCCACCGTTCCAAGCAGAAAGGACTCCTACAACCCGCCTACTCATCAACACAGCTAGGACAGCAATCCCAGACCTGTGCGAGCACTTCGCCGACTCCATTCAAGAGCCCCTCAGCGACTGCCCCACATCAAGTGCTAAAGAAGATGGCACCACACCCATGTCGCCAGTTACAACTCGGCCATGGACAACTTTGGCAAGAGAGGGAGGTAGACCCCAGGCTGGTTTGAAGCTGCCATTGCCGAACTCGAGCGAGCGATAGCAGCCAAGCGGGCTGCACTGCTCAACTACCAGAGGGAGCCTTCTGCATTCAGGAAAGCCAGCAACGATGCCCAACGGATCGCTAACTGCCTCGCCAGGGACCACTGGCTGAATCTCTGTCAGAGCATCCAACTATCTGCTGACTGCGGGAATATCCGTACCATGTACGATCGCTTGAAGATAGCTTTCCACCCAAGTACCACGCATACTTAACCTTTAAAGTCAGCTGCCGGCGATATCATCCAAGACCGGGGCAAACTGATGAAGAGATGGGCAGAACATTACCAACAGCTATACTATAGGGAGAATATCATCACTGACACAGCAGCTGAGAGTACCAGCCTCCTGCCTGTCATGAATGAGCTCTACGTTCCACCCTCAGTGGGCGAACCACGCGGAGCAATCAAGTCTCTCGCCTTTTGCAAAGCACCAGTTAATGATGGGATCCCGTCAGAGGCCATCAAGGCTGGTATGAATACCGCTCTACTTCATCATCTACATGAGCCCTTGCTACAGTGCTGGGAGGAAGGAACAGTGCCCAGGACATGCGCGACTCCAACATCATCACGCTCTACAAGAACAAGGGAGACTGCAGCGACTAATAACTACCCTGAAATGTCCCTCCTCAGTATCAATGGAAAGGCCTTTATAATTACCCGTTTAGTGTTGAACAAATTGCAGACGCTAGCAGAACGGTTGTATCCTGAGGCACTGTGTGGGTTCAGAGCTCGAAGGTGAACAATTGACATGATTTTTTCACTGAGGCAACTTCAGGAAAAGTGTGGTGAGCAGAGGAAACACCTGCATATTGCCCTTATCGACCTGACCAAGGCCTTTGACCTAGTCAGCAGGGTCTGTTCACTCTCCTGCAGAGAATGGGATGCCACCCAAGCTCCTAAAGATGATCACGTCTTCCCATGAAGGCATGCAAGGAACCGTCCAGTACGACGGCTTGGCTATGTACTCGCTCCCACACTCTTCGGCATATTTTTCTCCCTACTGCTGTCTTACGCCCTCAGCCAGTCAGAAGATGGCGTGTACCTTCACACCAGAAGTGATGGAAACCTCTTCAACCTTGCACGTCTCCGAGCAAAGACCACGGTTCGGAAAGTATTACTAAGGGACACACTGAGAGTGCCTTACAGGGACTCATCAGCTCCTTCGCACACGATTGTAGCGTGTTTGGTCTCACCATAAGTCTCAAGAAGACCAACATCCTTGGCCAAGACGTCAGCAGCACACCAAGTATCTCCACTGGCGACTACACTCTCGAAGTGGTGGAGGACTTCACTTACCTAGGCTCCACTATTTCCATCAACCTCTCGCTAGACACAGAACTGAAAAACGGATTGGCAAAACAGCAGAAGCACTGGCGCATCTGGGAAAGAGGGTCTGGGACAACACCATGTTGACCATCAACACCAAGATGAAGGTGTTCCAGGTCTAGGTGCTCAGCACGTTACGGCAGCGAGATCTAGACCCTCAACTCCAGCCAAGAGCGCAGACTCAACACCTTCCACCTGCCCTGCCTCAGAAGGACATTAGGGAGTTTAAGCAACGACGTTTTTGAGCAACGCACGTCAACCGGCAGTGACAGTTTTGCAATTTCTTGGGCAAATCGTCTCTACAAGAGAAGAGACACTTATGATACAAATTCGGTGGCGTCAAGATATATGAAAAAGAAAAACGCTCACTTCCGGTTGACGAGCGTCCCTCAAAAACGTTGCTGCTTAAACTCCCTATTGGCATCACCTGGCAAGACCTTGTCCCAAACAAGGATGTCCTAGCACAGGCCGGAGTACCTAGTGCGTTCGCCTTGCTCAGTCAGAGACAGCTGCGGTGGCTTGGCCATGCCAGCCGCATGGAGGACGGAAGAATTCTTAAGGACATACTCCACGGCGAGCTTGCTACTGGAACTCGAACTGCAGGAAGCCCTACCCTTCATTTCAAAGATGTTTGTAAACGAGATCTTAAAGCAGGAAATGTCAACCCTGCAGGTTGGGAAGCTGTCGCTGCAGACCGGTCACTGGAGACCTTCGGTCAAGGCACTCAGGCGTTTAAGGAGAGGAGAAAGGAGCATTGGGATGAGAGAGCGCAGACGGCTGAGGGCAGCATCAGTACCCACAGAAACACGCACAGAATTCATCTGCAATAACTGCAACAGAGCCTGCCGATCCAGAATCGGACTGTACAGCCACAGCAGGCGCTGCAACTCAACCACTGACTAAACCTTGGAGCTGATTCCATTCTCCCGAGACAGATGGATGCCAACAACATCATTGGTGCTACACGAATAACACTGGGTTAAAGCTCATTGACTAACATTACAATCAGACAAAGTAAAAAAATTCTCAGACTTTTTTTAATCTTACATCTTTGGTCATATGTGGTATTTGTGGTGGTATTTACAATACTCTAATTCACATAATTATTCACGTTTGTTCTTTGCTTCATGCGGACTAACAACTGTAAAATAAGCAAATGTTTGGAACATGAAACACAACCTTGTAAGTTTGCGCATCAATTCGAAACTCATTCCCAGGCCAAACTATTGTGACACGTGTTGCTTGAGAATGACGGCGAAATAATGATTCAAAACATGATATCTGAAACATTTTTCTGTTTGTTTAAAGGGGCTGCGTCGCGGCTATCTGGATTATTTCGTCCGTTTTTCACTTTTACTGGCAAAATCCGAGTTTTAATTAAACAAATGTCTCCCCACCGTTATATCAAACGTTACAAACAGAAAAAATTAACAAACTTTGAAAAAACCCAATTGCAATCCCGTTTATTCTTCCTCGAGTTTGGACACCCCGTGCCTTACTCTGTACTCGCTCAGTTATTGATAACTTCTTCTCTTGCTGTGAGCAGTTATTATTACGTTTCACCTTATTGGGTGTCAGTTGTCCTTGTTTGAAGTTTGAAACATTTCGTGACACAGCTCCTTTAAGCTACCTCCCAATATTTCAGACACCAGAATAGACTAGTCATAAAACGGAATGCGCCCGACATCCTTTGTGACAATAACTTGTAGCTTTTCTTTAGGCCCACCTTAGAAACCTCCTGGCTTGTCATTTTAATTCTGTTATGGTTTTATCAACTAAGTCGACAAAGTCAATCTAGCACCGTAAAAGATTTTCAAAGCGTGACGTTTCGTCAGAGAAATCCAAGTGACATATTCTACCCATGAAATAAGTTCAGTCAAGGTGATTAACGGAAACCGCTCAGATTGCCCATCGCCCAGAAAGCATCATTCGAAATTTACGCTTAGGCTTTAAGCCTTGAAGGCAGTTAAGACAAAGATATGCATGTGTATTTGTCATTCTTAAATCGTGAAAAAAGGAATAAAATTAGAAAGGGTATACCTGGGTATCTGTTTAGGGCAACAACTTCAAATTAAGAAAAGGTGACGCAAGTTCGGGCGAGACGACTTTATTTTAAGAGACCCCTACCGCAAAGCGAATGAATTTCCGTATTCTAAGTTAACTTAATTTTACCTTTTACTTTAACGCCCTGTTTTCAGAAATAGTTCATATTCCAAAAACAGAAAACTCCTCAAGTTTTGCTGTCTTCATTCAAGTAAACAGTTCTTTTAGTGTTAAAGTAGCATTTTAAAAATAAGCAAGAGTACTTGGTCATCACTTAACCAGCGTTTGACCAAACACTGTTCTCTTGATTTCGGACCGACAGCTAGTTGACACACGCATTGCAAAGCTGTGCGGCAGTGATACAGTCATCGTGACAGAAAGCACCACATTTTCTACAGATTTCCATGGCTTTCAGCCGACACGAACAGTTCTTCAGTAACATCGATCTGCTGAAGGCTTTGGAAGTGACAGAGTTGACTGAAAAGCCTTTTGAGACACCAGCCGTGGCAGAACCACGGCGTGTCGAGTTCTCTTTACTGGCCGCTTGACTGCGCATTGCAGCCCGCGATGGTGGTCTCTGTTTTATAAGTGTTGCAGGTTTCGGCAGATCTACTACCTCATGTGTAAATACAGACGCGTTAGATAATGAAGTTGCCGATGACTCCATGGAAGAGCCATCAGAAGCAGTCTCGCTACAAGGAGTCTTAATCGTCCTTTTTCTTGAGTATACCGTACTAGTAGTGAGCATATTGTCTGGCGCACAAGTCCTTACGGCTTTAAGAGCTTCGTTAGCAACAGCGACGGTGACCATCCGATAGATGGGTATGGACCTTGGTCGTGACGGCCCAGCTTTTGCGTTCGCTCTAAGCTGCTTCGCCGCCTCTGATCTCCGAGACTCAGACACCCTTTGTTTGGGAAGACAGTGAGGAGGAAGTTTCTTAACTGGGACGGTTAGAGGTTGTATCATGGCGCTTGATATCCTGGCTGATTTTGGAGGATTGAGCTGCGACCTGCCAACGTTATGATCCTTATGACTCGGAACAGCAGGTGCTGGGGACAGTGGTTCAGTGAAATAAGCATAGGCAAGGTCTTGCGAAGATTCTTCGGTATCCGAAAGTTTTCTGAAATTGAAATTTCTTGAAATAAATTAAAAGATACATTTCTGTGGGGAGGGGAGGGGAGGGCAAGGGAGAGGAGTAAGAGGGGTGTGATCAACAGATTACTCGGATGTTCAACCGACCAGTGTCAATAAAAAATAATTTCGTTAGAAAAAGAAACCCGTTCCAACAACGTGTGGGTAAGCGGCTTAGTGCGCACAACGGCAGTGAACTATCCACCTCAGTTTACTTAGCGCAAAGACTTACTGGGATCGTTACTGCCAACGCGCCGGTCCGGTGTTGGACAATTTTTTCCCCTGTCCCCAGTAACAGTCCCAAAGTCTTTGTGAAACTTAAAGGGACTCTGTCACGGTTGTCTGGCTCAGTTTGTATGGAACATAAGGTGACTCGACCCAGTTGTTTGGGGGGGTACCATTCTACTTTGAAGCTCTCTGGCATCCGCACCTTTATTTTTATCTTAAGTCTAACACATAGAATGGATAACATATAGATCAATCTACAATATAACATAAAATGTTTGGCGATCGGAGTAAATGTCACGTGGTTATAATGCCATGCCCCTTTGAGGTCTGAGTCGAAAATCGGCTGTTGCCGGCATTTTTTTGTGAAAATCTCTCGGCTACACATAGTGCGCATTAGTGCCTTGCGCTGAACAGAGTTTCACCAAATCGCAAAGACCCAATTCGAGAAATTCAGCGGTTTCCAAATTTAGATCATAATTTATGCGAAAATGATAAGCAAACTTTACACGGATTATATATAATAAACTATGAGATTCATCTCTTTATTTTGGGCATCGTTATAACAGATGGGTCCTTGCAAGTCAGCAAAACGCTTTAGGGAGTCAGATTTCAAAACGCTATTTTTAGGGCCTTGTAAATGCGCGCGATTTTTCGAGGCCATCGCGTGATACATAGAGGTTTAAAACAATTATCAATCAATTCTCGTGCTTCTTGTGTCTTTGCAAAAAAAAAAAGCTACACACTAAGTCTCCTTACTATTACAAAAATATCATATTTTTTTTTATAGGTTTAATAGGTTTAATGCAAGCAAATAATTAAACCAACTCGTGACGGGAATATCTCGGTGAGCCTTCGGAAGTCAGCCAAGCGTGGTCATTGCACGCGTGCTGAACAAGAAAACTTTGCTCGAAATCGCGCGTATTTACAAGGCCCTAAAGCGTTTTGTTGACTTGCAAGGACCCATCTGTTATAACGATGCCCAAAATAAAGGGATGAATCTCTTGGTTTATTAGATATAATCCGTGGACATAAATTATGACCTAAATTTGGAAACCGCTGAATTTCTCGAATTGGGTCTTTGCAATTTAGAACTCTGTTCAGCGCAAGGAGGACTGATTTTGAACAGTCTAAGCCATCTCCAGTTATGGACACCTTTTTTGAGTACCGAGAGCGTCCACTCATGAGAGCTTCCACTTTACACAATGTACATTCCTTTTAGCAGCCGTTCTAACTTGCATGGATATCAACATTATCACTAAATTACTAACCTCTTGCCCCAGACAGGTTCAAAAAACTTGGCCTGCAACAAACGAGGAAACAATCAGGTTATTAGAAAGTTCCATTATTTTCAGGTCCACTGGTTTAACAGGTCTGTTACCTTTTCCGCGTGTCACTAGAAACAGAAGATGGGATTGGACTAGAGAATCCAGCGTTCTCCCACCTCTAATGTAAGATTACTTTATGTCAAGGCACCAAAATCTCACCTTCCAGGGATCCAACTTAGCTAGTCTCTCTTCTTCTTGTCTCCTCTTTAGTTGCATATCAGTCATGAAATCTCCTGGAAAGGTCAATTCATGAGTAAGTTCTTACGACTGGTTGCACATTTAAAGATAATGTCTAGCAAAAAATCTGAGTAGCTAAAACACTGAGGCGTTAAGCAAAAAAAGAGGGAATAGGTGCCTCAGATATCCAGGAGCTTCCATTCGCCACTTTAAAAACGAGACGGAAACTGGAGCTAGAATGCGTGCCACAAGTGTTTCTGGGATCGTTACTCGGGACGTGCCGGTCAGCTATTGGCCGATTTTTTTTTTGCCCTGGCCCTTGTAACAGTCCCAGAAGTCTTTGCGAAGGTTAACCCGGCCCAGTTTTCTTCTTTTATTAACGGCCAGCTCCTAGATAGAGACCACTCTCGTGTCCGACAAATCTTGCAATTCCAGGCCTCAAGCAGTAAGGAGGTCACGCACCCATGGCACGGATAAAAGAGTGGAGAAGAAAAGTGAAAAGGAAGAGGAAACAGCCTGTTACTAAAGGGTAAAGCAAAGTTTAAACTATCTTTGCTGCTACTAAAGGTTATAGGAATGTTCAAATCCCTCACTGCTGCTACTGAAATATTTATACCCCAATTTCTTAATAATGTGTGGTTCCAGAAAATATCCATACCCTCCCCACTGAGGGCAACAGAAATTCCGAGGGGAAGAGGGTCCAAAAAAAAGGCAATTTCCAAGGGGGTGGGGGTGGCTATTTGAGGTCTTGTTTTTTCGGGGGCTGCAAGTAAGATTGGCGAGTTATTTCTCTTCGGCTGTGGCTCACCGTAAATTATTAGCTAAGAAAGAACTCTACGAGGGAAAATTGAGTTTATTAGGCCACAAATTAACATAAAAAAGAAAATTGTTTCCCACTTTATATCAGAAACAATTAGATTTCACATAACGGTATAGTGCAACAGCACTTTTGATGCAAAGATTCTCTCCAGGGGGTTCCCAATCAAGATGGAAAATCACGGAAATTCCAGGGAGTAGCAGGGTGTGACAAGCACCCCATGGAATGGAAATTCCGAGGGGGTGGGGGTCTCAAACAAAAGTGCCCTCCTTTGGGGGGAGGGGATATGGATATTTTCTGGAACTACACAATCCCTTTCTTCCACTGTGGTTGTTGGGGGTATTAATCCTGCTTTGAGACTGTAAAAGTTGGAGAGCCATTTTGATTATTTTGAACCCTACAAACAAGACCAACATCATCATCTCTTACGACCATTTTATGATAATTTTACCTTGCCAAATGGCAAGTTTGAAAAAAGTTGAGCTTGAAGCAATGACAATGCTTACCATCTTGAAGACGATCTCTCCATGAATGACATGCACTAGCAAAGAACTCATTTGTGAAAGCAGAATGTGATGGTCTGCCAAAAGAAAAACAACACACTATTATAAGTCTGATAAGTGGCCACTTCTTAAAACAGACAGGGAGACTCTGCCCAAAAGAGGAACCCTTTTCAAGTTTCAGGTATTTGAAAGGGTAGGGACTTCATTAGTTGAAGGGCAGGTAAATCTGTCATTTCAGTCTCTGAAAAGACCAGAAAAAGGCTATAAATGGGAAAGTGACAAGACAACCTCCTGAGTCAAATATAGAGGGTTTTCACATGACGTCACGGTGGCCATATTGGTGTTCCAAAACAATAAAATGCTTGTCACAATAATAGTATGTAAAAAGGCAAATCGTATAAAGCTTCAGTGAGTACCTCCCCCCACCCCCCAGCAAATGACCATCTAATTACAACAGAAGATAATAGTATGAATTAAGTGACTGAATGCTTGGTGTAAAACACCAGAAGGGAATCTAATTGCCGACGACAACAGAGGTGTTTCCATTGATCACATGTGTTTACATAATGTACACTACAGTGTCACTTGGACTTGCAGGAGCACCATCAATTTCCTTTGAGAGGAACTTTGTTGTAGCCTGCAAAAAACAGCTGTTTCTCCTTCTACCTTGGCACTTAGGTTGTTCGCCAGGACAGACGTCTGCGTCTCAGCAACAGAAATTCCATACTGATGATGTAAATCTATGTTTACATAATTAATCCGGTAGTCATGGGGTTTTAAATGCAAATCTATTTCATTTTATGTTTCTCCTGGTCAACTTTGGCAAAGCTTTGTGTTCATCTGCAAACAAGCTCCAGCAAAACTCAAATGCTTCTTCTAGAGAAGAATATATTCCATGAATATTCAGTGTTTTGTTATAGATTCATCGCATTTAAATTTGACCTTTGTGGCCTTTTGTCTTTTGTCTGTCATTCGTAAACAATGGCTAAAACAAAGTAACTACTACGTTGACCAATCAGAGCTTCTGACCAGATTCCAGAGAGATTTTATGTAACCACTATAGAATTTCTGTTAGTGAGGCAGTCGCACAGACGTCTCTCTTAGCGAAAAGTCCCAAGCATCGAGGAGAAACGGCTGTTTTTGTGGGGGAACTTTGTTGGTGTTCTTGGAAGCAGCTATAACCTGTGATTCAGTTTTCCATGAAACTCACACAAAATGGAAACATCAGAAATATTCATGGCATGTAAATGGTTGTGAGGAAAAAGCCAATGAGGCCCAAGAAAACTACATGTAAACTGCAAGCAGCTATGGTAATTAGTTTGCGGTTCTGAAATTTGGATGCATGTCCAGGCCCAGGTTGTTCAAAAGCAGGATAGTGCTATCCACTGGATAAATCACTATCCACGACCAGCGGGTAAGTATTACAGGAAACATGCGCGTTATCCGCTGGATAGTGATTTATTCAGTGAATAGCGCTATCCAACGTTTGAACAACTGGGACCTGAACTTGATGACAGCAGATTACTACATAATCAACATTCCTGCCATACATGTACTTCAAGTGTTCACCATTTTCTAAGTTTGACAGTGAATTCTGCACAACAGAATTTACTGGCAGGAACAGCCCCTTGTGACATACCTGAGGCCACCATCACTGCCTACTGACTTGTCCACTCTTGGCAGTAACTTCACTAACTGATATTGATACAGAGCTGGAAGCATGTTGAATGTACGCTGGTTTATAAGTGACTGAAAAAAGAAAAGTATTCAACAACTGCTAGTTAGCCTGCATCATAGAAGTATGTGCTATGAGTAGCAACAACTAGCTTGTGCACACTTTAGCAGCACATGCAGTCTGACCTTGAGCATCCTAATGGCATTATTAAGTAATGATCCAGGTAAGACGGGAAGCAATAATTATTTCTTTTGTTAAGATGCAATACGCTTTCCTCACATAGGAATGGTTTCATTTTCACACAAAGAATGCATAAACCTACCAAAAAACAGTTTACAAAAAGAAATGTATTTAAAGTCCATCTTTACAGTTACAAAACAGTTAACCAACAATAGTTCCTACAGCAACGGTGTTCTCCCTAAATTTTAGCTCAGCAGGTAAGGGACCTTTCATGGGCAGTAAGGCAAAAAAATATGCGCCAGAGGTACACTTTCCTGGGGAGCGGGGGTAGTGGAAGTTCTCTGAAACCTCATTCCCTCATTTTTAGACCTATCTTACGCAAATCGGCCATTGTTATCTTTAGACAACAATTTAAAACATTTGATTCCAATCATTTTACTCTGTCTCCAATGCTCTCTTTCTAAAATGCATGGCCTATAAAAAGAAAAGCTGTGCTGTATACTTTAGTACTTTTCCATATATATTTATTCATTTTCCTTGTGTGAATCGAATTAGAACACAACTTCTTTTTTTAATTTCAGTAAAACCTTCAAGCAGTTGCAGGCGGTAAGAAGTGTTGCTTCAGGCAGTAAATTTTACTGGTTAAAACCAGACAAGCAAAACACTGCAACAATGATAAATAGCCATTATAGATGGTGTACACATGATTATGAATAATGGGGTTAGTTTCTGGAGGTGCAGTGACAGTTGGGGAAGTTTTTCATCATACTCGTAGCAGAGTTGACTATACTTACTCTCAGGGGAATACTCGTCAGAATGGAATCCGGAGTTGAGATATCTATTCTTCCTTCCTTGGTTTTCTTCAGTTGAGCAGCTAAGAAAGAATGACAACAGTAATATTATTTTTAGAAAAAATTAAAAGGTCCATGTTTGCCAAATTACAAACTTGTACAATCAGTCAATGGTATGCAATATATGTGTACATGTACAAAAACACATTTTCCATTAACATTTTCTACAATACTGTATCCTTTTTATTCGTAATATGATATTTTGAGTTGTTTCCTTTCAGAAGCAATTCAGATCAGCTAAAAATTAATTGGTTTGTTGGATGTAACAGCGACAAGTCAATATTATTCTTGTGTTGTAATTTCACCTAAATCAAATACATAATTGTTGCTGTCTTGTTACTTTTGGTATTCAAAACAAATTTATTGAAAACTTACCAACACTCATTTTCTTGTACCTTCTTGGCTAAAAAGGAAAACCATAAAACGTTTTAATAATAATAATAATAATTAAAAATTTATAACATGCCTTTTCCATGCAAATATGATCAAAAGTGCGTGAAAACAAGTAAATGTTAAAAGAAAATAAAAACTAAAATGAGCATAATGTTAATCAGTTATTTCCATCACAACAAACCAAGCATTGCTGTCAACCTTGAAATGAATAAAATTGTGATTAGACTGAATGAAGCAGCATTTTACAACATTTAATGTGAAAACTTTACCTTTGAATTTGTCCAAAGGTCAGAAAATTTTTCCAGCGTTTCTCTGCCATCCATGTCATCAGCTGTCCCTGGAAGATTCTGAAAGCTGTGACTAGCTATGGAGTTAGCTGTTACTGATGCTCTCGATGGGTTTATGAGTTGGGATGATGGTGGAATGAGCACAGATGAAGGCTTAACCTGTTAGAAAATAAATAAATGTATCAATAAAGGAAAGTTATGAGTATTATAGGCTATATCTTTCAGTAAGATTAGTGAAAGTCTCAACTCAATCAATGAAGGTCACAAGTGAAGGGGAGGGTGGAATATGGTCTTGAGCCTGGTTTCAAACATCACAGTGAGGACAATATTATATATTTCCCCTATAGGCATTAAATTCAGCACATATGATTCTAGTCAACTAGCTTGCAAATAAACAATCAATCATAAAGGGACATTGCAAGGCAGCGTGCAAAGAAAGTCGTGTCCAATAATCTGGGCTTGTTGATTTTGCTATCAGGCAAGTGAATTCTGTTTTTAACTTGCCCGCCTGGCAAGTGAAGCTTTTTATGGAATTCAAATAACAGAAGAACTGTTATCAATCCTGCTCATCATCGGGCTAGTTAAAATGACTCGTGGGCTAGTGGGTGCTAGCTACAGAAAAACTGACTTTCTTTGCACCCTGCAAGCCCTCTGGAGTATGCACAATGTATTGGTAGTACTTGAAATCTAAGCTGGCATTCAGGAACACATTTTCTTTGTGACATATTTGGAAAGTGTGCCGAATTTCTGCAATAAAAAAAGATGTCAGATTGTCACTCGATCACTACAACAGATTTCTTTTCAAACACTTTTCAATCACAAGGTTCACAAACAAGATTTGGTGATAAATTCTAGCCACCATTTTGGTGACTAATTTTCAGAATTTGGGTGCTAGTGTGGGAAATTGGTGCCTCTAATAGTAGGTACAATTTTACATGTATGTCCTGTTCTTCAGTTATCTTGCACATTAATTTTCCTTCCTTCCCATTATTGCCAGTGATTTGACAATAATGCTAGGTACATGTAGCAACAGCATTTCATGGAAAGTACAATCTTGCATCAACACACCTTCCCATTGCCATTCTTGGCGCTTGATCCAGCATTAATTTCATCAGTTCCCACTTTCAGATTTTTCAAAACCATTTTTGGGACAGGTCTTGTACTCGTCAACCTGGGTCTTTTAGTTGCTGTTGAACTGCGAGGCCCTTTGGGGCCGCGCTTCTTCTGTAGTCTTCCGTCCTTGGTGAGCGATGGCTTTGACTTGGGATCCCTTGGAGAAGGATTGGGTGGGGGAGGTTTCAGCTGTGGCATCAAAACACTGTTTGTTCCCATGGGTATCTTCACTTTCCCATTACTAAGGCCATTCAAACTGTCCTTGTCAAGAAAATGGTTGAAATCTGAGTCATCAGGCATGTCCATCGAGTCTGAGTCAGAGTCTTGGGCTGCCAAGGAATAAAATAATAATTATTACTGATCAAAGTAAAACTGGAATAAAGCAAAATCAAATATTATCCGAAGAAAACTCCCACAAAAATCACTGTATCATTTGCCACTTGCAAAACCACAAAATTCCCTGGCTTTAAACTGACTGAATAATATTCAGATAAGTATAAGCTTATTTTTTCATAGTTGACTGAAAGTGAACGACTAAATCAAAACAGAGATTGGGAGATATCTTCACCAAGATATCTGTAGGTCTAGCCCGGCAAGAACATGCTCTCATTTTTGCAATGCTGCTTAAGGCTGGTAAGGAACGTTTACTTACAGTTACCAGAATTGTCTCCTGAGGTTTCAACTCTGTTTGGCTATGAAATAAGATTTTGCCACAAGAGGTTAAGATTCAGTAGCAACTAAATAAAATAACATCTACTACACTGTAATGTAACAAAATAATATATGCAAGTGAAAGTGTGCCATATACATAGAGCTCATCTTAAATTGATAGTTAATTATTGCACAAAACACAAAATGCTTTCTGTAAACCACCTTTAACTTCTCTGAGCTATGATTTATATTCTCTCTTGGACAACCAAATAGCATTGAAAAACACTTTCCAGGCCACTACATTCAAGGTGGAAAAAAAGATTCAAAGGACTTTTCAAGAAAAAATGGAATTCAAGAACTTTTCAAAGAATTCTCCTAAAGTTCAAGAACTTTAACCCTGTATTTAGACACACCTGGTTGAAGACTGAGACACAGAACAGAGCCAAGTTCCTTTGTAAGGAAACAACACAGTGACAAGATTTGAAGAGAAGTCCAATGAGCTAACCACTAGATCAGACCCCTAGACCACTATGCCGTTATAAGGTGAACTAGGACTGAAGTGTTCCTTTCTCAAAACACCAAAATACACAATAATAGATTAATTAAAACAAACAGAAATTAGTTTACATACATTGAGTTTGTAACAGCTCATCCGGCCTTCCACCTTTATGAACAAGTCATTAGGGCCACGGGAATGGTGATGGAGCATAGCATTTAAGCATGCTAGTGGAGCAGTTCCACGACTAAAAATAAACAGAATGATTTTTAAATTCTTGTGAGTGTTTTTTTAATTCGACTCTCTTTTTCGTTCTTCACTACATGTTTGGTGATTGCTAACTGTGAAACTGGAAAATATACCAATCAATTTTGAAATTTGCCGACAGGAATGTAATTTACAATACGAAACATCAACTGCTAAGAAAATTACCCAACACCCATGCCTTGCAAAAAAAATTGTAATAAGACTAAATAGCTCACCCTTAAAAAAAGGTACCCGAAACAACATTAAGTGCTTTGTTAAAGACAATTACATTGCAGGGCAGATTACCTTGAAAGAATGCATGTACTGTGGTACTGCTTAAATATATTTTTCAAGAAAAAATCATTTGAGCTTCTTCTTGTAATAATTTAGACTCTCATGGTACCTTTTTAAGAAACTAAATCTGAATTGGGATTTTTGGGTCTGGATATTTCACAATACAGCTGTAACTGAATGAAAACTCCAAAACTGGAGTTTACATCTGAATATCTTGAAAAAAAATTCCTGTAACAGACGAAATTCTGTTTGGTAAAACCCATTTTTGATTAAATGTGTATTTTGAGGGAAATCTAACACTAGTGGTTAAAGTGTTCCCTTGCAACAGGAAAACATTACTATTATAATCAGGGAGTTTAAGATGACACATCAGAAATGGCAATGAGACAGTCAAAACAGCAATTGGTTAAACGGGGAAAACAACAATTCTGCACCAGCATCGCACATTTTACGCTGCTGTCACTACACAATCATAACATGAAAATGCCTAATTTCACATTTTACAGAGGATGTAAATCAGAGATGAAAAAAGTTTCTTTCTCTTTCTGAAGTTCAATGATATGGTTCTTAAGAATTCCACTCCAGGAGAGTTTGCTGGAATAATCGCAATAGAGATTGAAAGAATACAAATTCCCTTCTTTGCTGCCATCACAGTTGTGGTATTTTGAACTCCCTATTTGCCCAACTGGATTTCCATAACTAGCAGGAAAGCTTTTGATTTTTGTTGGTCATACTGCAGCTGAGGATTAAATGAGGATCTACTGTCTGATTGAAATATGAATATTTTAAGAGACCTTGTACTTGGTGATTGGAAATCTTTTGGAAAGCTTTTTAGAAGACATTCAATTTCAGGAAAATGGAGGTGGTAGAAATTTCAGAATCCGTGTGAATTGAAGCCAAGAATGCAGAGATCAATCTGAAATCTACAACGAGCAACGGATTCAACTTTTGAATAATAAATTCATTAATGGATTCTTGGGGAGTACGCTTGACCTGGTTTGACTGTAAATGAGGATCTACTGTCTGATTGAAATATCTAGCTAAGAGACCTTGTTAGGGGATTTAAATTTTTAAGCATTCAGCCAATCAGAATCCATGAAGCCAAAAAGGAAATGTAAAGAAAGAACAGTAGCAGGAAAAGATGTCAAAATTCGGGAACAACATTAGCAACCACCATTTTAATCCCAAGGGACCGGCCATTCATTTTTTAACAGGTAGGGTGGGCTGGTGGGATTTGAGTGGGGGCATGCCAAAAAATATGGCTTTAGAGGGGGGACCAGGCAAAAAAATATTGGGTGTCAAGGGGGAGTCAACCAAGAAATTCTTTCAAGTTTTGCAGTGATGGCATCTGTGATAACTGACTGATAACTGATGTTCAGAAAGTTCCAATTTTCCCTGATAAGTATGCCCCCAGACCCTCTACTTTATCATGCACAAAAAAGCAACTCTACGCCACTAAAATGTTAAAATAAAAAACAAGCCAAGTCAAACATATCATTGTGAAACAAATAATCCCTCCGTCCTTGCCGTTGATAGAACTTAAGCTATCACTGCGTACAGTTGCGTGTATTTCCTTGTGTATCTTTGTGAGTATATTTTTACATGAGTGTTTCATGAGTGTTTTTCTCATGGAATTTGCATGCAATATGGCAGATTTCCAAGCATGAAACACGCGTGTAATGCTGCAATGCCCGTGGCCTGTACTGTACTGTAGCAGTTTTATTTGGTTACTTCAGGAAACGTGCTTAGTGTTTAGTGTTACCTATTGTATAGCGTAGCAATGATGTTTGAGTAGTGTAGGGGGTGTCGTATTATAAGTATGTTGACAATGTTTGATAGCGTTTGCCTAGTGCTGTAATGTTTAGTAAGTAATGATATTTTGAGACTGTCATAGTATTAAAGTGATTTGCCGGTCCTTCAGTCCCTGGGGAAGGCATACATACATCCTTTATTTAAACACAATAGGATTTAAAGCTCAAAGCTTGTGGGGTGGTGTAAAAAAAAAACACATATTTATAGAACTATATTAAAAATAGGGATAACATTACTTACAAAATACAACTACAATAAAAACTCTAAGAGTATACAGTAAGATTCTAAAAGATACAATGTTAAAATAAGATTACATTAGTTACCTCTAAGTAAATTGACTACAGCATTTAAAACATAATATAGTTAAAATCTTCATGAACAGTACCTGGGCAGGGACTGAACCGACTATGTGCTAAAAATCAAGTTCCTTAAAATAACAGTCCTTCTTCAATTTGCGATAAAAAACAGTAAACTGGTGTGTAAAATGAGTCGAGACAGCGTTCCAAAGGATAGCACCTCTATAGCCAATCAAGTTTTTAAGAAACTGTGTGTTAAAACGTGGGACAATTATAAATTATTACTCCTTCTGAGGTACGCAGTTCAAGGTTCACTTGTCAAGTATGAAAGAGTTGCAGGTGCTTCACCTATAAATATGCTATAGAGTAATTTAATTAATTAAAGTTTATAACAGAAGGTTAAAGTATTCCGGTTCGAATCTTGGTATACTTTTTCAGTAGGCATATCACGGAGCAAGTTGTATATAAGTTTCCTGGCTTTTGAAGCTTCAAAAACTGAAGTTTCTCTTGAGGTTCTCATTGTTAAAAACAGACCCCTTTGCAACTTTAGCTATATAGGCCATGTCTGTTCTCTGCTGATGGCCATTCAAAATGTCTATTTGATTTAAGTTCAGTCATCATAATTTAATTTAATTTTTTTTTTTTTTAGGGGGGGGGTGAGGGTCATCTCAATTATTTTGGGATACAATGGTGGTCACCCAAAACCATTTCTGATGAGGAGGGGGTCATCATATTCTACAGGAGGAACCCATCAGATCCCACCAGCACCACCTCCCCAACCTACCCCATAAAAAATGAAAGGGCCCTAAAACTGTAGAAATATTCCTGTTTGTTTCTGAAAAAAGCCTAGGCAAAACAAATTCTTCACCAGTCTCCCTTCAAAAAAAATGTCCCTCGATTAAAAGAAACCTAACCTACATGTAGGAATGTTTTTCAGTTCCACTCAATCAAAATAAGAATAAAATTTGCAACATTTAAGTTTGAGAGTTCAAGTAATGAGTAAAATTGAAATGGTAGCTTCTCGGATAAACATTTTTTTAAATTGGGGAGTGAAATCATGTAATCTTCAATTTCAAATTCAGATTTTGGACGTCCACATTGTTACACCTCATGTTGGACGGCATTTCATTGTTGGTTGGAATTGCATCGGATGGAAAAACTTGCGATCATAATCGACCAAATATAGCAAAGGGAATCATTTCTACATCAGTGAGAGACCTCTACCCATAAACCTGAAGTACTGACGCTTATGTGCTGTCAATCATCTTGAGATTACGATTACCACAGCCTCGAAATTCGCTTCACCTCACCTTAAATCGCGCAAACCTTCTTCCTGTATCACTTTAAGGATATCTTTGTGTGTGAGAGGATCAGCCGACCTCGCCAATACCTAAAGGCAACGAAAAAATAGCTCAATTCGGGTAAAATAACATCAAAGAGACTACACATGACCTCGCACTCAGCTGACATAGACTTCTTTGTGCGGCCATATAAAGTTTTAATACCTGTTTGGCCGCTTCAGCCCATGTCAAACCCTTTTTCTTCTTCGTTTCGCCTTTTCCCGCGCTCATTTCCTGAAAGATCAGTTCAAGATCGATGCTGCTGTCGAAATCTGACCTTCTCAAACGGAGAAATGGCTTGGCATGGGTGAAAATAAAGAGTCATATGCCGAATAATTCAGGCATTTCAAACCGCCATCTTGCTTGGCGGACGAAACGAACACATCGGATCACGTGACAAGAACATAACAGGAAGTTTTTCTACCAGGCCAGCACTCATCGTGCACGTGAAAACACTGGGTCGAGTCTAAATTTCCGTCCGAACCGTACGCAATAGAATTTTTCGGGGTGAGAGTTCGTACAAACTGCTGGAGAAAATAGGGGAACTTCGCGAATTAAAATCATAAATTATAAGTAATGAACGGAAAGTAGACTCTGCTTTTAGCGAACTGTGATGTACTATCGACGACGGAAAATTTAATTGAAATGTAGGCAGCCAATATAGTCAATACAAACTCGAGAAACTGGGCAAGGAGATGAAAAGCAGCTAGCAAACCTTTTGAGTTCCCTTCCCAGAAGCATTTTCTCAAGTCCCCCGCTCTCTCAAAACGCATAAGCTTAAGATTCATGTTGAGAACCAAGTCAGTTATAATCTCCTAAAAGTCCACGTTATGTTCAGAGAAACTCGGATTGCCATCGCAGAACGGACGTGGAACGGGCTTTTTTAAAGACATTTCTTGTGCGCGTTTTCTCTTGCTGCGCTCCGGCTTTACAAAGAACTGATCCCTGCCACTGATTGTGGTCGAGCTTTTAAGTTTGGAGAGAGGAATATTCTGACTGAAGTACTAGCCAAGGAATCAAAACCAAAGCCATAAAATTAATCAATATCTCCATACCAATGAACGAACACTCATTACGAAACGATTACAAATTAAAAATCAATTCAGATATATGAACTCTGACTAGTCACGCGATCACAGACGAGTCTGAAAAAAACTAAAATTGAATGTAAAAACCCGAAGGCTTTGCCCCTAGACCTAGATTTATCACATTATCTAAGCCTACACTGAGAACGTACCTCAAAACTAAGTGAATAGCCTCCACAGAATGTTGTTTTTGGCCACTTATCTCTCGAAGGTCTCCATGATTTGTATGGACTCCAGAGCCCAATGACCCAGATGTATATATTCGGTACCGGCTTTTTCTGCTGCAGCATTAAATGCATTATGGGTATCACACGATCGCAAAACCGAGATCCTCTCTGGGGCACTTTTGCTTTTTAAATTCGCCGGGCCATAAATACAAAGAGAACCACGCATATAGTACAAAAGATTTTGCAGTTTAAGAGCTCAACCGTATAGTGCTTGACTGAGCAAGAAATGGACCGTAACTCTATATATGATTTTATCCCCTACATTTCTCGAAAGTGCAAAAACGAAAAGGCCAAAGCCACCTTGCCTCATCAATCAGTTAAAATCTGTTGATTCAGCTTAAAAGTTTTAATAGGGGCTATCATTTTGGTCTATTCACTAAGTGGAAGTAGGTAATCTAATATGTGATAGAAGCGCAAGTCATTCTACCGATATGAGTATAAAATTCCCTCTTTGCTTGTCTTCGTGCTCCAAGCATAGCGTATTTCACAGCACAGCCGGGTTACAAAGCAAAACATCATAATGGAGACTAAAAAGCTGATACATTTGTATTAACTAATACAATACAGCCTAAGAAATGCAGAGGAATGAAAGGGCACAGATTTTTAATCTGTTTACAAGGACTAATTATTAAATTAAAGTAAATAAACAATTCAGTATTCTTAGGCTACCTATAGTGTAAAGGAAATCTTGTCTAAACATCCAATTTAATTGAAAATTTAATACTCGCTACTGGAATCAGTAGCTATAAGTTATCCTCTCAAGAAGATCACCAGTTCACGTACTACGACCGTCTCAGCTTTTAAAGAATGCAGTGGAACTTATCCAACTTCTGAACAACCTGAACCAGCTAGTTCGGCCTGTCTTTTTTACCGTGAGGCCACGTTGGATCATTTTTGTCATTTTAGAGGGAACAGAAGAAGAAACTTTCTTTCTTTCTTGGAGCTGAATCGAGAAAAGCGGAATCTGATCAAAACCGGAAAACGTACATGCAAATATCATTTGTCGTTTTGACTGAGCGTGTGTAAAAAGGTTCTGTCAATGATCTGACACATCGGCATGTTTACCCTTACTAATGACAGCCAATAGAAAATCATGGATCGAGCGACCATGAGAAAGATTTTTGCATTTTTATCTAAGAAAGTCAGCTGTCCATCATAAATTCATGTATCATTCTTCCGCATAACAAAAAGCGAAAGAGGAAGCACCCAGCTTTTAGCTACAGCTCAATTTCAGTGATAACGCACGATCCGTCTGAGCTCCAAAGAAATTCTCTGAGTACTGGTTTAGCAACTACTGGTATCAAGAGTGTGGTATGTTATAGTTTAAACTTTGATTATTTCAATTCCTAGGACTTTTATAACGCATTAGGGTAAGAACCGACTGATTTCAATCACGAAGAAAACGATTCGTGAATATCCAAGGCCCACAACAAGGAACTGCTCAAGACACCTGACTACAGCTTCGATTCAATAGCCATGAAGGTTTCTTGATTCATTCCAGGATAGGCTCCTGTTCATTCCCAAATTTCCTAAAGTTCTAAGTAGTGAGCATCGCAGGGGCTCGGCCGAACGGTATCTGTTTTTCAGCAGTGCGAACCTTGTAACTGCAACGTCTTGCTTGCAAGCCGTCCACATACGGCTATAAATTTTTCGCCGTGTAGGGCTTCTTATAATCAGAGAAGGAAAGAGAACTTTACTGAAGTTTGTTTCGGTCTGACTGTTTTATATGAACATATAGTTAAAAGAAAAAATTAGATTATGCACTTCAACGAATGTCGTTTTACTCGTTTTCTCTGGCTGTTGCCGTATTGGCTCTCGGTTTCTCCTCCGGGTTTACCTTCTTGATGAGGCACCTTCTACAGAGTACCAATTAAGCTTGCTCGTATCAGTATTGTATTTTCCTTCGCTATTTTCATTTCAGCAGATCGTCAAGCAAATTATTCGGAATTTCAAAGAGCCGATAACAAGAGCCCACATTGTAAATCTTCAGTTTTATATCTGGGCTATATGTAAAACTCTGCACCAAGCAAAAGACATTATATTTTTGGGCTCTTCATTGTACTAAAACTATTGGAACAAAGTACTTGCAAATAAAGAAGTGATCAGACAAAACTATTTTATTTTTTCTCGCTTTTTTACGGACGTGACTTTACACACGGCTTTATCGTCTAATCGCGATTGCTAGTTGTCACCCAATGTAGTCCGCTTTGATGAGTTGATATTGGCCACTGGCAATCGCAAGAAAATTGTAACATACATTCGATAAAAACAAAAGGACTTAAGAGCATTTAACTCTTCGTATGTTATTGGCCGCCTTAATTGGCAGGCACTTGAACATCAGTCTATCGCTTTAATTTGTCGAATATGTTGTCGTTTTCTTTGCGTCAGTAAGAATTAGTGACTGTGGGTTTCCTTTAAAGCCTGACACTCAGTGAGAGAAAGGTTCTGAAAGTTGAAATTTCTGATGGTACCAGAAACTCTAAATCGTGAGCCGACCTTATGACAATCAGAATAATTTGAATATAGTCTTTATAATTTTAAAATGAAAAATTAAGTATACGGTCTACCAAAATATTCCAGAAGATCAGTTGCTACAAATTTTATCTAATCCAGCGGGTCATATCTTGCGCGCTCACGAATAACATTGACGATCAGATACAGTTTAAACTCTGCAAGGTCAATGATTCGTATAGTATTTGATTTTCATCCGTTGTCAAATAAGTAGACAAGCACTGAATTCTAACTTTCCATTTATTTCTCTTTAGGTAGCAACATTCAACGAAAAACATTTAAAGATCATTGACGGTGCCAAAAAGTATGGCTCCTCCTCAACTTCGTGGATTTGTCCAACGTGACCTCAGAAATGCAATTATACGAGCATTGGGTCTGGCAATGGCTTTCGGCTTCAGTTACAAGTATTTTGTCGCTTGGCCAAGAAGAAAGGCGTATGAAGATTATTATTTGAATTTTGACGCCGAAAAGGCAGCCAAGGAGATGGAATCGGAAATGAGTGCTTAGATGTCCTTAATATTCAATGTATATCTGTTGTCATGATGCTGAGTAAGTATTAGGGAGTTTTACAACCAACGACGACGTAAAAATTCGCGCTTATCCCATCTCGTTCATTTCGTCAAATGTTGGCTTCTTTCTTGGATCGCCGAGTTGAATTTAAAAGGGCTGTATCAAAGTGCAGGAAATGAAAAAGAGAGTGGTTGTCTTGTGTTGACTTCTTCCACAAAACGTGAAATTAGGCAATTTCACGTCGTAATAGTGCAGTGACGGTAAAGAAATGTACAAAAAAGCGTGGTGCATGTGTAGATTTGTTGTTTTGATAGACACAGACAGCATGACGGCAGTTATTTCTTTAAACTGAATTCAGGTGAATTGCTTTCTTTCAGCTGTTCTTTGTTTGAATTTCAGGTAACTTGTTGTTCGCCGTCTTCAGTGGACAATGTGTAGCAGTTCAGCTTCAATTGTGCCATAGCCAGGTCCCTTGACTTGTCGTAGATAGTGTCAAAAAATAAAATATTGTTTAAAATAATAATAATAATAAAAACTATTAAAAAATTGATGTTATGTTCCGCCCTTTTAACGCAATTTTAAAATAACCAGCTGAAGAATTCAATCGTGTGAGTAACAGTGAAGGAAGACTCAAACATGATTTGTGGTTAACTGTTAGTAAAAATAAACTCGAGTTTGGATCGTGACTAGACAAATAACTCGCGTTCAAATTGATCCACGCCAGCGTGACCTCCACTCATAGGTGGTCAGCAGACTTACCCAAACAACTTACGCTCAACTCCTCAGTGCAACCAACCTTTGGTGTGTGAATTTCGACGTTTTTACAGTCTTTTTCCACGTCTTTTCAGGTAAATTGATCTTAATTGTCACTATCTGTAACATTATTTTAGATTCCATTACATTTTAGTGTTCTTAGAACCTTTTCTGGTCCGTTTTTAGCCTCTAATGTCCGAATGAACTGTTATGGATCTTCGATGTAATGACCGGCGCCGACCAATATACATGTTCAAACTGTAGAGTTGATGGTTGATGGAAATGCATTTTACAGCGGCTATGCTCTGTCTTAAAACTTAAGATTATGACAGATAGTTAAACCACTGAAAAAATTTGAAATTTAAATCTGTGTGGAAAGAGCGAAAATACGAACTAATTGTTGAGTGTTCTGTGGGGACGAAATTATATGCCCGGTCAAAATTTATAATCTTTAACTGGCTGAAAATCGTCCAGTACCGTGTAAATTTATTCCCCAAAGGTTGTAGAGGTAGAGGTCAAGGTATTTAAACTTATAATAGCTATGATGCAAACATTTTACCAGTGGAAAATGATTTGAGGCTTAATCAAAATCGTACTGAATGTAAAACTTCCTCTAAGGTTGCTCTTTTGTTACAGGACCTGAACAATCGATGAAAATCGATGATTGGAAAATCGATCGATCAATCGATGACAATCGATTAATTACTGTTGATTAGCATCGATTGGCATCGGTCAATCGATGATCAATCGATAATCACACTTAGGTGGTCGTGAACTTCATTGATTGCCATCGATTGGCACTAAATTCATGTCTCCGTATCTTCAGGTATCGTGGGAGTGTACGCACATCGTATATTATTTTTAAACCTCAGTAGCAAAGTTTGAGAATTGTTCATTGATGTGGCTCCATGAAAAACAGCACAAATAATTAAGACAATTAACATATCTTGTTGTCAGTAGTACAAACTTGATCGATTTAGCTTCGAGTTCATTGCAAAGATTCAACTGGGCGGGGACGCAGTCGTCGTTAAAACATGATAAAGCTTATTGTTATTTCTTTTTCTTCTTCTAGTTTCTTTATATGTCTGTGTGGACGTCCTTGTCCACCTTGATCTTCCATGTGGAATTCTCAAATATAAAGCAGTGATATCAAAATGTGTAACTTTATTAGTACTTGATGAAATTGACAATTGAAATGTTTGACTGAATAGGTAATCGATTGATATTGCATATTGATAACAATCTATTATGTTAATTGATCGATTCCGATCGATTATCGATTGATATTGATAATTGATGATGATCAATAATCACAAAAATTTTCGTTATCGATTGCCATTGATTATCGATTTTGTTGATTGTTCAGGTCCTGGTTGTTAATACAGGTGATTTTAACTTTGATCAACTTTATGTCATAACTGTTAAGGTTTGATGTGATGGCTACGAAACTTTGAGAAGACTTACAGCTATCATTCGGCAATAATTCTATTTTGTTTGTGAAAAAAAATTTTTGTTTAACTCTGTAAGACCCAAAATCTGCATTAATACAAATTCTCAAGACTGATTTCCATATATTTCCTTGAAGAATTAGTTGAGAGAATTTGATAAAATATCAAAGCATTTCCCTTAAGTGATCATTATCTCAAGTAATTCCCATAAATCTTTTCCTTTTGATGATGCGTTAGCATTGTGAGGAGAAAATTGATGTTGGTCACTCTTGGGTCTTAAAGAGTAAAGTGGGCTCTGCTTTTCGAAGGAAATTGCATCTAATGAGAAATTTTGCTGATATTTTTGGTAGAAATGTTTGGTATCAGCTTTTATACCAAATAAATTTCAAATTACACAGCAAAATTTGCTGACATAACAACAGTGTTGTACCCAGCTCCCACAAATGCTCAGTAATGGGACGTAAGTGAGAACATTAAACAGCAAAGAGGACTAACTTTAAACAGCTGTGGAATTGTGGGGATTTTATCAATCATGTTATTGGTAGTTTTTTGCAAACCTGTCACAAGGACAATATTATCATAAGATTTGATTTAGCAAAAACCATTTTTAGGGGTTAGTTCCACTTTAAGCAGTGTGATAATTGATTATAGGAAAAGTAAAATTGATTATTGCTGAAAGTGAACAGAATTGTTGTTAACAAAAAATTTCAAAACTTGTGTTATCTATTTTATGATGTCATAATGCAGATCTATATTATAATCCTACTTGATGACCCATTTCTGATACATTCTGTATGTTTTTGCCATGATCATTTTCTAGAAAATGACACAACGGCTGTGCTTAATTCTCTCTATTGGTTTGTAAGGTTTTTTTTCATTCACAAAATATTTATCTTTAAGGTCTTGTGTTTTTGCAATAGTATTTTCCCTGTTATTTTCCCATTTTATTCCTAAGTAATGGCACCTCCGGTTCTCCGTGGATTTGTACAGAGGCACCTTAGGAATGCTATTGCAAGGTCTATAGCCTTTGGTATGGTGGGTGGATGTATATGGAAGTTTGGTGTTGCTGATCCCAAGAGAAAACAGTATGAAGACTTTTACAAGAACTATGATGCAGAAAAAGTGGCCAAAGAAATAGAAGCAGAAATGGAACCTCTTTCATAGGAGGTGAGAAATAATATAATGTTTTAACCTCTAAAACTGAGGAGATACTTGCAAAATAAAACCTACATTAATCAACTCCTGGCAAATGCTCAAAAATGGGGGTTGAATTAAAATAATAAACCTTAATGGTACTTAATTTCATGATTTTGGTGAGACAGTATTTGCAGGGTTTAATTTTTGCAATTCCAATAGGCAAATAAGAAAAAAGGGCATTAAATTTTGCTAAGTAAGCATTCTAAACTTCATTAAATATTAATTTTTCAAAAAGTCTGAACTTTTTAAAATCTCTAGACAAAATGGAACAAGCAATGCGTGAACAAATTAACTTTTTTACAACTGAAGATACAAAATGCCTGATGAAGTCAAACAAATGTTTGGTAATCAAACTCAAGCAAACTCAGTGGTTCAATTGACTTCGATTGGGTTTGGTAATCAAACATAATCAAACTCACCCAAAAGTTTGTCAGTTGAACACAACTGAACGTTTGGAGATCAAACACTTTAACAATCGAACATAAAGCTAGTTTCTTCTGGTTTCAAACAAGGCATTGAGGTCAAAAAGCTATGTGTTGGCTCTGATTTCAAACATGAGTACACAGGTAAGATGTCAGAGAGGGTGGTTTTTTGAAACCCACCTTGAAACTAACAATTTTGGAAGCAATGGTTAATGCTACCACCAGTGCTATTTCTCTGTCGGTATCGGTGAAAGCTTGTTGCTGAGAAAAAAAGGAGAGATCGGGGTTCAGCTCTGAAGGTAATTGATGATGGCGGTGAATGTTTTGTCTTTCTGCTGGACAAACTCAAAGTAGTTGCATCAATTTGGTTCAGTAATCGAGCTCACTGAAAAGTTCCAGTTTGTTTATTTTCAATCAAAGAACAATAAACTTGAACAATTAGGCTCAATAGGCCATTTGCATGAAGGTGTCATTTTTACTACCGGTACTTCTACTACTACCAGAATCCTTCAACATGTTGCGTTCTAGTGCAAACTAGGGCTAATGTTATTTAAAAACGAAGTGAATTCTGGTCTTACATGTAGTAGTAAAAAGACATCATCATGCGAATGGCATATTGATGTTTTGTTCGTTTTTTGCTTGATTGACTACTCTGTGAAAGTGGAACATATGTTGTTGCTCTTAATTGCAAATAAATTGCATTTTCTTTATGAGTATTAAATTTTCCATGCATAAATTTTACGAAGATCTTTATTTGCGGGTCTTTAATTTTTTGCAATTGAGAAAAGTGTGAAATTAAGTACTAATATAATTAAGGTATGCATTATTTGTTAAACAACTAAAAAATTAATCAAGCGAATGTAATGCTGCTTTTTTACATGTATACGATCATGCTGGTTATAGCCGAATCTTTGCTGATGTCATTGTTTACACTTTTGCTGATTAGCATACAAGTTATCCCACCGAAGAGTTGGTTAATTTGAGCAGTTGGTGCAATTTTCAGCTCTTAGCTTGAGCAATGACAAAAGAAATAAAGCAGCCATCTAAAAAGCTGCAAAATTGCTGGGTAGTAAAAACATTAATGAGCCTATACATTCTTTGTAAAGTTTTGAGTTTTTCAAAGATAATTTCTTGGAAACTATTTGGTATATTGCGCTCAAATTTTAAACTGAAAATGTTATGCTCTTCTGATATTCATACGGTAATGCGGCAAAAAATGTAAACAAAGATTCCCCTATCCTTGTAGAACATGAAAACCTAGGCTGTAATTTTATTTTGTTGTAGTGTATTACATTGATGTTCTCTCTCTTTTCTTATTATTTTCAGATATCTGCTGTTATATTGTTTGCTTTGAAGTTGCATGTTTTGTATGATTGTTGACACAAAATAGTACTCTGACTAATAATACTTGATGTGTCAATATTCTTCGTCTTCTGTGTGTCGATTTAAGTTTGACCTTTATCACTCTTTTATCTAAAACGTTTTTGACAGTTAAGGCTTCATTTTAAATACTGAATTGTAAAATTCTCATGAGTGGTTTTTGTTTGAAATAAAAGCATTCTGTAACTTCCAATGTTTTTTGATGAGTTAAATTTGTTACATTACATGTTCCAAGAGGTGCTAGTTTCATCTCCATCCATGTTTTTAATCTTTAGGAAGTTTAAGGAGTTTCACTAGTTCTTATTAAAGACTTTCAAAATTTGATTCCTTATTTTTATATTTCGTTGCTAGGACTTGCACAAAATGAAAAAGATCCTAGCAATGAGTCTGACATTTGCCCAGGGATGTATGCATGCTTCAAGAAAATTCTTTATCCATCTTATTTTTCACTTCTCTTTGACTCAGCCTTTCAGATGTCTCATCCAGATAGACTGTCCAGCCATCCCGATTTCGTTGGGTTTCTCCCGATTTTGCTTCAAGGAATACGAATCCCAACCAATGTGTGATCGGGACAAGAAAAATCCCAATTCCCATGATCTGTGGTGATCTTTTTAAATGAGTTCTTATGGTACTAATACAATCTTGAACATCCATTCGAGTATACTTAAGGTAATTCACTTGAAAATAGAGTACTAAAGTGCGACGTCATAAAAATGAAATTTGTGGGATTTGTCAGGATATTCTGAAAGAACAATGTCCTGGAGGCCTACTTGCCAAAAATCAGCATTTCGGGGCAAATTGTCTCTGATATCGTAGTCCAGCTATGCTTAGAAAACTCCATACAAACCCTTCTAAATTTTTTTGGGTCAACTCCCAAAAAATTAGAAGGGTTTGTATGGAGTTTTCTGTGTATAACTGGCTAACATCTCAGAGGCAAATAATTATTTGCTCCGAAATGCTCATTTTTTGTAAGTAGGCCTCTTGGACATTTTTCTTTCTGAATATCCTGACAAATCCCATAATCTCAGAAATTTCATTATTATTTTTTATAACATCATCACTTTAGTACTCTATGATATACTATCCAGTTTTTTTTTCAAACTTGGCACAAATGTCAGCCCTATAGAGCACATTCAAAAACTGTAAAAAAAAAGATGGGGTCACGATGCTTGTTTTTGCCCTGTGTGCTTGTAATTCTGAGTGTTTTTTCCCAGTTGCACATGAAATTTTCAAAACTCAAACAACTGTCAAAAATTTTTATCTTATAGCGAAAAGTACAAAATAAATCTTACTAAAACCTTAAGCCTGTTTTTGATTTTCTGGGCTTTACATTTTAAATTAGATAACCTCAAATTACCCAATGTTGTAAAAAAGGAGAGAGATGGGCAGTTTTCACAATATCTCTTACTTCTCTGTGGCTCTAAGTGTGGAAATTCAAGTCATTCATATCCAAAAAATACAACTTCTACTATCCATATTTTTCCCCCTAATATTAAATAATATATTTTTTGTGTAGCCATAGCAAGTGAAAAACACATGTAAAAAAGGGTGTCACCGTTCTCGTTTCATCGCAAAACAACGACAAAGGGACAATTTCGGCTTCAAATGATCATTTTGCACAAGGGGACTGGGACGAGTTTCAGACAAACATCCTTTTAGCCACACAGAGTTATCAAAATGGCTATTAAAGGCATCAGGACTACAAAAGGAGCCATAATTGCCTCTTTTAAGGCGACCGGTCAAAATCACCGCCACCTTTGAAGTCGCAATAGTATGCGCCCTAGGAGATGTGCAGTGCCAAACAAGGGAATTACCTTAACTGAAACAGATATCCAGTAAACTTAAAGAAAACCGCATGAAAGTTAAAATACAATCAAGTAGCTGTAATAATAATATTTAATTTCTATTGAAAATCAGTTTAAAAATAACAAGTGAAGTAGTGAACATTTTAGACAGAAATTGTCCTCTCAGAACACTAGAAATGGTGTTTCAGAGCATCAAGTTTTGAAAATTTTCTGTGGGAGCATGCTCCCAGAACCCCTTTAGCAGCTTGCACAGTTGGCACTCGCGTGATTCATCAGTTGTTAAAAAAATATCCCGATTGTACATACCCAAATGGTTGCACAGTCTGCATCCAGATAGCCTGGTGCTCTGAACCAGTAAAAACTAGGGTGCCCGGCATATTACTTGTATCAAAAAACTAAGATTTTCTATTTGCCTAAGAGCAAAAGTCAGGCACCATGGGCCACCGGGCTCTGCTAGAGCACAGCCCTGATATGATATGAGTGTCATTATTCATGCTCTAATAGCTGATCAAACCAGTGGTAAACTGTGGTTACAAAAATATCTTTTTATTAAAGATAACATGCCAAGAGTTATTGAGACGTAAAATAAAATTATTTTTTATTTACAAATGTGAGCCCATTGCACAAAGATTATACTCCAGCAAACACTCTCTAACCACACTACCATAAATACACAGCCATGGCCCTCGCAAATACCTAGTTTTCTAAAACACAATGTCTCTCCTTACTCATTCTTGTCAGACCCCAAAGCTGCCTGTCCCTCTTAGCCAAAGGAGACCTAGAGGAAAGTTCCCAGCAAGTGAAGTGGGGAAGTACAGCACTCAATATTTAATTTTTCTATCCAGGGTTCGTACAGATTCTTGAATTCTTGAAAAAGTCTTGAAAGTTGCAAAGCAATTTTCCAGACCTGGAAAAAGGCTGGAAAAATGTCTGGAACTTTTTTTTTCAAAGATACAATAAGTGCTTAATAAGTGTGAAATTTTTGCAAGACATTTATTGATTTAATCACAGAATGAGAGGCTTCAGAACTCTCTTATTTCCACATTGCATGGTGGTTACTGTACCTAATACCCAGAGTAGTCAATTGATAAAAATCGGTATTGATAAAAATCGATAGCAATCAAGTGATTTTTATAGATTGATAATGGAAATCGGTGAAAATCTATAAACTAGATGGCTATGTCAAATCAATATTATTGATTTTTCATGATTTTAATGACTTATAATGGAACTCTGACATCTTTGTTTTTTGACATACGTTAGATAGCACAGCCAAGAAAAAACATCCACCAGTAACAACTGATCAACAAACATGAAAATAAGAAATGTGGAAACTATTACAGACACAAGATTATTTCCA